CCAGCGGTTCCTGCGGATAAACTTGGCTTCACAGCTGGCGGCTGACCAACTTGAGCAGTTGTGGTGGAGAAGGCAGCGGAAGTGGGCGAAACCTTTTGTGCAGTCTGAGGTTCTTGAGGCTCTGGTCGCGACGGACCACCGAATAAGGTAGGACTCGAAGACGGCTGAGGGCGAGTTGCCTCTGTAGAGGTCCCACCTCTATCCACGGCGGCCTTTGGTGCACTGGGGAACAGACTCGTTGTCGCTGCTTGCGGCTGACTGCTCTCCTGTGCAGGCTTGGGTTGTGCATTGAATGGTGGTTGAGCTGAAGTCTCAACAGCACTACTTAGCTTGCTAAACAGTGTCACACCTGCAACCTTGCCGTCTTCCGGTGCTTTAGCAGGCGAAAATATTGCCCCCGCAGAGTCGGGCTTCGATGGGGGGGCAAAGCCGGGCGCAAAGCCGGACAATGAATTCTGAGCAGCATATTTCGGTTTTTCAGCATCTTCTGGTGCTGGTGCCTTCGGAGGACTAGCCTTGGGAGCCTCCGGTTGAGGGGCAGACTTATCAGCACCTGCCGGTCTCCCAAAAAAACCTGATGTAGTCGGCCCCGTCGTTGGCATCGTTGAGCCGAAATTGAACGGCGCGCTTGAGGATTTGAATTCAGATTCCTCGGCGGCTGGTTTGGGTTGAGCCGTTTCACCAAAGCTGAATGGAGACTTCGTCATGGTTGTTTCTTGTTTCCCGGGCGGGGGGGCGGCTGTCTGACCTGTTGACCCAAGGTTGAAGATGGGTTTTGACGTAGGAGCGGTTGCGGTGGAACCGGTCGCACCAGCAAAGAGACCAGCAAACGGGTTAGCAGCCTGCGCATCGGATTCCGGAGCAGCTGGCTTCTCTGGAGATGAAAGTTTTTGCTGCTGCTCGGCTGCAGGCTGAGAAGTTTTCACAGCACCAAACAAGGAAGTGGCGGGTTTGGGCTCTTCTCCTTTCGAGGCGCCGAGGTTGGCAAAGGGGTTGGTTGTCGAGGAGAGCTGTGCTGAAGTTCCTCCAAAAGAATATACAGCCGAGTTTGTTGAAGGTGAGAATCCAGTCATGGACGTTTGATTTGAGGTAGAACCAAACAGACTGGTGCCACTGCTTTGGGTAGCGGGCGCCGTTGAGCCAAAGAGTCCAGTTCCTTGACTCTGTGGCGTAGTACTGGTTTGCCCAAAGGTGAATTTGGGGGTTGGAGCTTGTGTATCAGGACCCTGTTTAGTTCCGAATGCTGGAAGAGGACTTTGTGGAACCGATGTGGTTTGGCCGAAGTTGAACGCTGGTGTCTGAGATTGTGCAGTCGATGACGACTGGCCGAACCCGCCAAATAGATTCGGGGACTGGGAAGGCTGTCCAAAAGGATTCGATGCAGCAAGGGCCTCCGCGGGCTTCGAAGGTTGCCCGAACACACTCGTACCGTTTGTATTTGCAGACTGAGTTCCACCAAAATTGAAGGTGGCATTCGACTGTTGCCCTGCCGGCTGGCCAAATGTAAAGTTGTTTGATCCAAATGTACTCCCAAATCCAGGTTTCTTCTGAGGGGACTCCATCGAGATATCATGCGCGTCCACAGATCCATTCACATTTGCAAAGGGATTAGGTGTGTCGGAAGGCGCACCGAAGGTAAAAGAGCTCGCCTGCGGAGGCTGAAAGTTGAAAGAACTGCTCGTGCCAGCGGATCCCTGAGGAAATGATTGGCTTGCGCCAAAGGCAACACCGCCGTTCATGCTTGGGAATGACTGTTGTTGGGTAGTGCTTTGGGCAAAGGGATTCGGCGCGCCAAAGGAAGAGGAATGAGAAGGGCGGTTTGAGCCTAGCCGGCCTCGCGGCGTGGCTATCCTGAGAGGCAGTCAGTAAATTTGTTCCAAGGCGCTTTCAGCGAATGCGAAGAGGTCAAGGCAAACTCAAGGCGGTGGATGTAGAGCGTACGGGTAGTCGCAGCCAAGGGACTGGAGCGAGGCGCCCAGGGCGGAGGAATGGAGGAAATTTTGGGGATCGAATTCAGGAGGGCAACAACAACATAAGCGCGACAAAGGGATGAATTCAAAGGTATGCTGGACAGAACAACTTACTTTCGCCGTGCCTGTTGTGCGGCTGTAGACATTTTCGGTTTATCGCCCTCTGTGGGGTTGTTTGCTGTAGAACCGTGATCCTTTGTGATATATTCGTCTGCGACACGTTTCGGCATGTCACTGGCTGGATGGAGAAGGTCGAGGGGAGGAGGGCGAGGGCGAGGGCAAAGACGAGGACGAAGAAATATGAAGTGAGAGGAGTTGTACCATCGAGACGGACGCGTTGATGAGTGATTATGATGGGGTTGTTCTCGGACTGACGAGGGCTCGATAAATGCCTGCGCTTGTGATGAAGAATTGTTGCGCTGCCTCTGCTTTGCTTTGCTCAAGATTCTGCTGCCAGATTCCGGGGTCTCGGATCTTTTGCCCTTTTGGCTGCGAGGTGCGAACTGCCCAACTGTGTGCCGCCTCGTACTTCTGTCGAGCCACCACCCGAGCCACCTCGATTCACGTGATTTCTGTTCACGTGACCGAGCCAAATCTGCAGGCGCCAAATATTCCTCTTCGTCTTCTCCTGTGAGAATTCCTCTACAAATACCATATTTCTCCCACATACTGGGAACTGGGAGATCGGGAATTTCTTTCCTCTCTTTGCCAGTGTCTATGATTCTGCCTTTGGACGGCCGATATCTGCAACACCGTCTTGCCCCGTGCCTGCACCTCAACCCTCCTCTCACCCACCTTTGAAATGAGTGTTTCATTTCGGCGAATCTTGAATCAAGATCTTGCCAGAAACCGGCTCTACTTACTGTCTTGCTGTGCTATGCCTACCGTACCAAGTCCTGGAACCATATTTCACTTTCCAGACTCAATAAACCGGCTCCGAGGAGACAAAATGAGATCTCCGTGCAGATTCCGTGTCATAAACGCCTGGTTGGAGGACGGGATACCAGCGTGGCTTCATGTTTCCGCCGCTTCAGTGTCTCATTTCAAATCATCGCAGCATGGACGATCGAGGTTCCCACTAGCTGTTGAAGGGGTCTTTGGCACAAGAACCACTCTGTCCAAAACCATGCGTGGGCATTCGAACCCTAACCGCATCGAATTCTCATTGCAGTTCCAATTGTCCAATCTATCGCCTTGTGCTCCTGTGAAATTTGGAATAGCAGATGCGGCGCAAGCACCATTATTTCCACGCGTGGTTGGCTTGTTTTCATTGCATATCTGACAAGGCACACCACTATCCGTTTTCACAGCATTGTGTTTCACTCAATAAACGCTTGGCATCCTATGTGAATTTCAGGCAAGTTAGAACCCGTGGGTGCGCCGACCTTTGAATGACACTCGAGAATGCTCCAAGATGCAGCGACGGTGATCTGCCTCGGCCATTTGAAACGGTCAAAAAACCCAAGGCGTAACACAGTCAACTGGTTGCCATATTTCTCCTATATACATTCCATTCTGCGGATTCGAGAGCGAAATCGATAGTGATTACGCGGTCAACGGCAGTGTTGTGCAACAGAAAACCGAACACATGGCGACGAGGATACCTACGTACTAGGGACGCAAATTGATGTCTCGTCCAAGCGAATATCACCCGCTCATTTTAGCAATGGCTAACCTCCCATGTCACAGAGATCCACATCTACTGCAAAGAAATTTCCCGTAATGCTGGAATGGTGCGTCCGAGCCTACGTCCCCAGCCGGCATCCTCTGCACTGCTTAGTGGATATCATCCATCCAATAATGCGGATTTGCCTGTGCATCTCTTTACATGGAAAAGAATCAAGTCTCCAGGAACGAGCCCACTTGATCCCTGCTCGCCCAAAGACACACATCAACGATCAGCGGCAGACACAGAACGCCACATTATGGGAAGGCCAGATCACACCGTTGGCCAAGTGTCAGTGCCACCGTGCTACTGCAGCAAGAACGGCATGCTGTGGGCGTCAGAGTCTCAATTGGCGTTGAGAGGGTGTCCGGTCTCCACCAAACGAGGCATGCTAGGCTTCGAAGAGACTGAGGCACGAGTTATATTGGAGGAGCAAAGGGCAACTTACAAAGAGCATCGGGATAGTGAGCGGAGGTCTTTCTCTGGGCGGCGTACGGAGGTCCAACGAGCCGAGTCGCATGTGGAAAGGGGAGTGGGATTCAATGGAAGGCTGAGCATCCGGACCAGCCAGACATGCAACCCTGAAGACAACCTTGAATTACGAAGCAGCTCCGGACGCGTCCCCCGCATTGACAACACGACCTTAACCAACATAATGACTTTATCCAGGCCAAGGAACCCCAGTCTTTCCGCAGCCTCTGAAGAGCGCAGATGAAGCCCGGTTAAGCTCATGGCCCTATGCCACTGCCTAGCCAAGCACGGCTTGGATCTACTCGCGGCTTTGTTGATCTCAAAGTTTTGAGTAAGCATCATGACTTCCAGCCTCCTCAATTATCCCGGTCCGCCACGCATTGAAGACCCACGACGATGGCAAACCGCACCTCCATCACAGACAGAGCGTCCACTCTTTCCCGCCCCTCCACAAAAAACCATCTTTTCCTATACGCGAACCATCCATGCATCCCGCCTGGCATGCTTCTGACACACGGCTGGATGCTGCAAATCCATCAGCTATGCTGGCGGCAATGCTCTTCGCAACGCTGCCTTTTCGCCACGGCGACTTGGCTCTTCTATTATTTAGGTCTGTCTGTCCTCCTGACCGAAGATGAGTTCTTTCTCCTCTCATGACGAGTACGACCCCGTTTTGCAGGTGTTTTTACTGATCTTCACTATTCGTTTACGGTACCTTGCACACTGCACTCTCGCTTATGTTGCCCATGATGCCACTCTCGCTCTTGTCCTTTGTTACTGTTGCTGCTTTCCTACTACGGTCGCTCGTCTCCGCTGCACCACCAAGACACGTCGGAAGAGGGGACTCTTCATGCACACCTGAAAACATCAAGACTCGGGTGGACTTTAACAGCATGGCTGCCGCTGACCGAAAAGCATACACGGACGCCGTCAAGTGTCTAATGGCTCAGCCATCTCAACTCGACCCAGTTCAATATCCCGCTGCCCTCAATAGATATATGGACTATGCCGTCATTCACGTAAATCGTACACAATATGTCCATCTCGACGCATTCTTCTTGACCTGGCATCGCTACTTCCTCTGGATTTACGAGACAGATCTGCAACAAACCTGTGGCTATACCGGGGCATTCCCTTACTGGAACTTCGCCGCCACGGCTTCTGACCCACACGCCTTCCCTATCTTCGATGGCTCCGAGTATTCCATGTCCGGCGACGGAATCTACAACAACACAGGTCCCATCGTCCTCGGCTCAGCATTGACTATCCCTCATGGTACAGGCGGTGGGTGCGTCACTACCGGGCCCTTCGCAAACATGATTGCGCCGCTAAAATTCATCGACCCAACGCAACTCACCACCGGCACGCTACCAGCTGATGCTTTCTCCTACAACGAGATCTGCCTCATGCGCGACCTAAACGCCTACGTCTCCCAGACGTATACCAACAACGCCGAACTCGTCGCCGCCACGCACGCAATCAACGCTACAGACTTCGAGCTCCTCCTCAACGGCGTCATCGGCTCCGCTTCTCTAGGCATCCACTCGGGCGCGCATTTCTCCATTGGGGGCCAGATGGACAGTATCCACGTCTCCGCCCAGGATCCCGTATGGTATCCTCTACACACCATGATCGACAAGGTCTATTGGAGTTGGCAGACCAATTATCCCGAGCGGGCGGATCAGTTGGACGGGACAACGGGGACAGCGCTGAACACACCGCCGTCGCCGGTAGTCACGCTGGACTCGATCGAACCGGATTGGGGCTACTTCCAATTGGAACCCATCACGGTGAGAGAGTTGATCAGCACGACCGGGGGCCCGTTCTGCTATCAATATGATAATGTCATTTCGTAAGGCCGGCACGCAACATATGCTCTTCACATTCAAAAAGGGAAAAAATGTACTTGATCATGGTGGAGTGAGTGATTAGTTGACTATTTAATTCGGCTCTATCATCAAAGGTCATAATTGGTGCGGCTACTTATCAAGTCTGTTTCTTCCTTCCTCCATTCTTCCATACTATCTCCTTTTCTCTCATCCTTTGCCTACGAGGTTTCACAGCTTAGCGGCGACGCATGCACACACACATCTAATACATATACACATGCATGGATGGATGGGTGAGCGCTCGAGTGAGTAGGTATCGGCGAGATTGAAGGACCATTCGCGGGTGCTCAGTGGAACTGCATCCGATAGCGAGCATGGCGCAAGCATGTCGAATTGGAATCAGACTCAGGTCCCCCTTCCCTCTCCCTCTCAAGATCAGGGATCAGGGATCCAGCGAGCATTGCCAGTGGTAGCACAGGCCGGGTACCTAAGTTACTTACCCAGATAGTTATCTGCAATCAATGGACTTGTATAACAAATCAAACAAACAAACAATGTCCGAGTCTCGCGACTATGTGCACAATGGCGCCGGAAATAGATCCCCTGGAAAGAATATGTCCATCCTCTGTCGTCGAAGCGGTATACCCATGGTGTGACGCGAACGTATAGTAGGTATTGGACGAAATGAAAACCGGGCGGCTTCAGAAGTCGATGACTGCGATCTAGTACTACGAGTTGTCTATCTTGGTTGCCTGCTTTGTTTAATCGTCCAAGCACATAACAACCGGACACATTGTTCTAGTCCCGGAAGTTCCTTTTCATCCCTCGCCTCGTCTTACCAGTCCCTCTCTCTCTCCTCTACTGCCTCTCTCCCGCATCCAAGCTAGGTCAAGGTCAGATATAATCCCTCCTCTTAAGTCTGAACTGGCTCATCCACCGCCTCTCGTCCGCCTGCCTCTCCAAGGCCCGCCTCATGGTCTTAGAGTACTCTTCCTCTTTCCGCTTCCGCTCCTCCTTCTCCCTCTTCTCTTCCACGTCACCCTCGATCTCGCGCACCATTTCCTCATGGTCCATGAATTGCGGATCCGTCGTGACGATTCCGATCTTCTCCCCAGTCCAGATGAGCAAGTCTGCATCGCCTCGGCTGCCCCGCTCCGAGGAAGGTGCGTCGAGAGGGATGATTTTACGCGCCACTGCGTCGCCACATGCAGATGCACAGGTTGAGATGGCGTTGGGATGGTCTGTCAGGAAGTTGTTGAGGTTCCACCTGCGCACGACGCTGTGGCCGTCCCGTTCAACCCATTTCAGTCCACCTTCGGAGTCGGAGAAGACAATTTTACTCCCGTGCGATGCCACGGAGAGAAGTTTCGATTTTGCGGCGTCTTGACGGTTTTTGTAGCTAAAGAGGCCGTCGTTGGCGGTCAGGTTGCGGTTCCTGGTAATGTCGAGGTCGTCATCTTCCGAGGGGCTGGAACTGGTCGAGGTATCCGGGTTGGGTTGCCTTTGTCCAGGCTTGGTGTGAGGAAGGGAGTAAAGCTCTAGAGATCCACGACCCCGGTATTCCCCACATGCAATGAGAGTGGCATCGCCCACTACGTTGAGAGATGCTCGGGCTGGCGGGTGTGGTATCGACGTCATTGCTGAGAGGCTGGCGCTGGAATGGATCACGTATTGTAGACGTGGAAAATATCGGCGGTCGTAGGATAATATACTGGGGAATCTACCACAGATCAGAATTTCGTTCTCGGCGTGGTGTAGAATTGACAGTGGTCCAGGTTCTACTCGGGCATAACCCATCCATCGAGGATTCTGCAAGCGATGGGAAGGGCGCCAGCTAGGTGATCCAGAAGAATGTGTCGACGGACGGCCAGCATTAGACGGCAACGGCGGCGACGTGCCGAAGATGGAAGGGAGCATTGAAGAATCTCCTGACATGTCAGGGAGGATTGCAGTAGAACTTCCTGGTGTGCATGGAACTTCATCCGTCTGTTCATGCGAAGACTGAGATGTCGGAATGACGGGGATTCGTGGATCAACTATGTGGAGGCTCCACTGAGTGCCAACCGTTAATGGCAGGTCGGGATAGGCTGACTGGGACAAGGCTGTTATCTGAAACGGATACTTTGCATGCGACACCACAGTCAGGGTGTTGAGGTCGACCTCGTTTAACACATTGCCGACGGCAACAAAAGCCTTCTGTTGTGACGGGAAGGTGCTCACACAATCCACGACCAGAGTTTCGCCTGGCTGATTGGCGTCAGCAAACAGGATGGATGGTTTGCTCCGTCCTAGCTCTCGAAATTTCCTCCTTCCCAAAGTACTTCGACTGAGATCCCAGATACAGACGCTCCCGTCCTCCAAATATCCAACGGTATTGTCAGTCGTGCCGAGAGAGGAAACCCCTCTAATCTCGAAGGGGCTCGTGTTGTCACTGACGAGCCAGTCGACACTCATAGGAGCATATCTAGACTTGTATTCTGAGTACCAGTCAACCCTCTCGCCTTCCCCTGAGAGATCCCACCGATTGACTGCCCGGGCGCGGGCGCTTTCTCCTCGCCCTTTCGACACATGGCCGTCTGGAGGGAGCCCCCATGATTGACGAGGGTGAGCTGATTGAGGTCGATCTAGCAAAGCATTCTGGAGCCTAATCATGACATTGCCCATAGAGGCACTAGGAGACTTCTCGAAGCATTTGTGCCTCCACAGGGGGTTGGCACGTGCCACCCTGGACAAGGTGGAACATGTCAATTGGACGGAAATGAGTTCCTCGGGTTCGAGGTAGTCGAAGATCTCAATCAAAACCTCTTCAGGTAGTTTGTCCATGGTTGCTGTGTCTTAGAGAGGCATGAATACTCCTTCGAGGTTATACAGCAGTCAAGGCTGACAGGGGGTATATTCGGGAAGACTCAATTGGAGGCTCGAGGATGACGTTGGACATGGACTGTACTTGTAATGATGGACGACCTGGATGTCGGGGATCGACCATGACTATCATCAATTTAGGAAAAAGAATGAATGACAGCAATAACCACCCAATATTTTGCCATGTCGAGGTTTGACAGCCCAAGGCTGCCCGTGATACAAAGGGAAAGGAAGGCTCTGGAAGACTGAAGGCAGGCTAGGCGGGATCCCCGCCCCCTGGAGCGGGAGGAGGCAGCCACCCCGGAGAAACTAAGATCCGGTCTCCGAGAGGATTGCCAAGGACCGGAATTGGTATGGCTGGTACCGAGTATGTGTGGCCCACCAGGCTCGTAAGCTCAAGAGGCCAGGGGACTAGGGACTGAGGACCTGCCTTCTGAGCTTGCTACACAGTAGGTACTCCGAATTTATCACCAGTCCAAGGACTCAGTTGCTGCTCCAATTATGAGTTGGTGATTCAGCTAGAAGTAACCAGTCCACGAGCGCCATTCTGCGTCGTCTCCTGCCCTCTCGCCCTGTATTTAACTATGTCGGACCACCTGATGAGCCCTGTCCTGCACTGTCACACAGGAGCTGCGAAGCTTATCAAAGGGTCGGCGGACAGCCAATCCAAACCGTCCCTGCGGACGCACTTACTGCATTCCCATTGGAGCCATGGTATCGATATCAACGGCAGTAAGGCCCAGATCATCTTCAGTGACAACAATCACCTTGCCCTTATGACGTCTTCGGGGTTCACAGACGAACACACGTGTTTAAATATCTTGGAGGTGATCGCATCAGAAGATGTAATGGAGAAGGGAAGGTAGTGACTTTCAACATCCTAACGGCCAGCGGGGATATCTATCACCTTGATAAAAAAAACGCACAGTCGACCTGGGTCCTGAACCCATTCAACCTGTCATTATGACTGCCTTTCTCGATAAGCTGAAGGTGACTAGAAGCGAAGGGATGTCTGGCATTGGGCCAGGTCAAGGCGCCCTGAGAGACAAACTTGAAACGTCAAATGGGCAATCTTCAGGAGCAGATCCCAGTGACGAACTAGGCAGTGGCAAGGGCCAAAAGCTAGACCGAGGACCCAATACCTTTGGTGGGCCGTCCTTTGGTCGAACCAGCTCAATCCCGAGGCATGAATCTGAAGCATTGAACAAGATGGATCCCAGGATTGGATATGATGCAGATGGTATTCCTCAGGAGGAATTGGAACGCTACGAAACAAAATACGGCAAGCCTTCCGGTAACACCTCCGATGCACGGATGCGTGGAACAGACATGGCGGGCATCGTGAGTTGCCCTTCTCTGTGTACCACTGTTCCCGTTCTAGCTCCATCAAGCCTAACAGAGACTGGCAGGGTCCAGATCAGAGCGTCCTCGAGCAGACCCCGGGATTTCGAGCCAGAATGGCAGATCAACCTGAAAAGTGAGGCCAATTCTATAGACGAATGCCCCCACGAATCTAATACAATACTTGGAGGAAATGATGTTGGGAAAGTTCTCCAAGAGGCGCCGGGTAAGGAAGACCCAAATGGAGGGCTTGAGGATTTCAATAGGGTGTTTCTTAAAGTACATGTGTACCATAGCTGCGCTCTATATCGTCCTGAACTGCCATTTACCTATGTATCGCCCCTCCGAAGTATATAGCTCGCTAGGTACATGTGGGCTTTTGTTATGTTGGGTGACGTCACTCCTGCTCTCGCGTTCCCAACGTCACCAGAGTTCGACCTTGATCGCTTGCACCATTGAGACCTGCATTCCAAGCATCACGAAAGTGCAATTGAAGTCTTTCAGGGCCAGGATGTGGGTATGCAAGCTCTTTCATTCTGGGAGACCTAGCCTCCTACCATGTGAAAGAACAATTGGTCAGAGGCTTGCAGCCCTCTCTCGACTTCCTCCGCAGCCATGATGACCCAGCGGCTGGCGCGCATTTGCCGGCGCGGCCTCCTTCCTCGACACAGACAATTCAGCAGGAATGTCTTTACAAAGGACCAAATCAAGACGGCCGAACTGCAGAAAACTTCTCACACTCCAAATCAAGTAGTGATGGAAGTCCCACACTCGACCGAGTCTTCGGTTATCGACGTTCCCAGTCCGCTCTGGTACCACCGTCTACATCCTGTCAAGGACTTTTTCACCTGGTTCAGCCAGATACAACGACGGAGGCTGCTGGGCATTGCGCTGGGGACATCCTTGGCTACATACCTCTACGGTGGCCTGCTAGCGTAAGAGGTTGGGGGAGAACGATATGACGGGCGGCGCAAATTGAGGATGATCACAGTGGGAAGCTTAGCGTCTATACCGGGTTATAAATGGTAGCGCAGCTGACAAAGCCGGGAATCAGGAGTGGAGGGGAACATTGACATTGTCTTGTCCAAAGGTTCCTCTTCTTGGGCGGCCACTTCAACAATGCCTCGAAACGGGCCTCGATCATGGTCAAAGTTGTCATTCAACAATTTTTCTTTACATCTATCTTCAACACATATTTCTTCGGCATGCAAGCCATGTTATCAGGCGAAGCACCATCAGTCATCACTCACCGTATTGTTTCGACCGTGCCGGAAAGCGTGGTGAGCTCGGCCAAGTTCTGGCCTGCCGTTACAGCAATGAACTTTACCCGTGTTCCCACGCATCTTCGATTTACCTTCTCTGGCTTCTTTGCCGTGATTTGGCGAACATATCTGTCGTATCTGAACCGACGTGAGGAGAAGACTGGGCCTTCGGGCACGTTAGCCGACCAAGCCCGCCAGAAACTATACGAGGACGCCCCTTCAGCTTCCGTTGCTGATGTCTTGGATGGTGTTGATGGAGGCAGCTCACCGTGATACTTATTCTTGGCGCCATCCACACGTTCTAAATAGGCACGAACATGCGTAACCATATATTTAACCGTTAGAACCTGTCGGATCCCCGAATCACCAAGCGGTCATTCACGACATATCACTTCGCGTTTGTCCCTAGGGTAGAGAGTTACGATTACGGAGCTGATGAAAGAGTCAGCTGTTCTTTGAGTAACGTTGAACGCCCTGCCGTAGTTACGGGCGAATGAATGATTTCAGCTCGGTGGCCAGAGAGGCTTGCTCCAACAGATGCTGGTTCATCGTCCTCGATGACGGTAGTTCGAAGTTGGCTTCTCCTCCAAGGCTGCCGAGGTGAATCGCATTCCGCGGAAACGAAGCGCCATGTCTTGGATGGACGCTTTGCTGACCAAATCTGTTCAGGTATTACCACGTATACCAATTTTGACTCAAGTCGGTTTCGCACCGCATTTGGGGTCTCTGTGACTGGCTTTGATCCTGCAAGGCTGACATCCTGGGTTGGTTTGCCACTTGGTTGCTGATCAACCGCACCAGCAGGTAACCAGCGACCTCTCCTGATATACCGGAAGGATCTCCAAATCTCATTTGGGGATCCTCTTTATTTCCCGCCAAGCCTCGGCTTTTTGGTCGTCTGGTCTTTACTTATATGACATCAATGTATATTACTTGAATCCACCGCCCTGACAATCCCGTAGCTTGCTCCTGCCGCGGTAGCGCCTATACACAGAGTCTGCACAGCGCCCCAGATCGACTGTCTTCGATTACAGCCGGCGTAAGCGCACTTGAGATAACCGAAGACGATCAGAATAATGGCGGTGATGCCTATCGACACAAAAAGAGCATGGGTAGCGCGATGAATGGCGAAATATGGAATCATAGGCAGCAGACCCCCTTGGCGGTGATGGAACCCGTTAGCGGCAGTCGAACAAGCAAAAGAAAGGGATGGACGGCTTCCGGAGGTGGGAAGGAAAAGCAAGGGGGGAATTACCGATGAAGTATGAAATTCCCATGACGGCTGCCGAGACGTACGCTGAACGCCGAGCCGGTTCTTCCAACTTCAACTCGAAATCCATCATGAACTGGAACATGGTGTGATTAGAAGGCCAACGCAACCCAGTTACCCTGGTGACAATGTGCAGCATACCTGGACCCATTGGTCTGGGTACGACCTCATCGCATTGACGAATGGAGCGACGTCTGCTCTCTGAGGGCCGTACGCACAGAGAATGCGGTATATCTCCTCCATCTCCTCTTCGGGCGACTCCCGCACCTCCTTTTGCTCCCGAGTTTTCTCTGTGTCATAGTGTTGCTTGTCGGTGACAGAGGCCAGATAAGCCCCAAGTCCCATGGAGATGGAGCCACTGAAGAGTTCGGCAAGGCCGCCTGTTATGACAAGTTTGGAGGATCCAAGGCTGTAACAGCATGTCAGTCCAACGGGCAAGAGCCAAAATCTTCTCCCTCTCGTCTCCATCCCACGTACGATGATAATCCCGCGGTAAGGGCAAAGGGCACCGTGAGCCCATCTGCGAAGCCAATGATCAGATCTCGGAGCACAGTGCTGTTGTTTCGGTGCTTTTCACCGGCGCTGTGTAGAATGGGGGAGTCGTCCATGTTCGCGTAGTTGGATGATCCACGAATCCAACGCCTCGCAGTGCTCGGCCATCGCTTATATGGCATGCTTGAGCACGTTCGGATCTATTCACCAAGTCCAGCTTCGTTGTCACTGCTTCGACAACAGTGGTCATTCGTCACGAACACGTTCCCTCAATGACGAGGACGGAGGTGAACCAATCACAATTCGTGTATTTGTCAGACCATTTAACTCGCATTCTTCGTGGGCACGGTCTTGAGATGAGTGACATACAAGTAACTCATGCTCGTTATCTGTAGGCTATTAATGTTGCCCTTTTTTTTTTTATCGCAGTGATTTTTGGTGGTGAGACTTGCTGGTTCATATTATTCATCTTAGAAGTCTGGACTTAGCTTCACTCCTCCCCTATATCCCGAAGACCCCGGAGGATTCCCGCCAAGAGACCGCTCTTTGAGTCGTACGACCGAGTTATATGGCTTTTGGTCCTCAGCTGACTTTGCGCGTCAGGGTCGAAGTAAGCTCAGAGTGCTGCTCTGGAACCCAGGGGTCTATTAATGCGAACTCACGTGCCCGACTTCTGCGGTGCGTCTGGAGATCAATCACGTTTCCTGCGGTTGCTCGCTGTCGGAAACACACTGGGCGAGGCCCATCTTCGTTGCCGATGACGGGTTCGCGGACGAGGATGCGGGGACTTCCAGATCCTGCGAGATTTGAAAATATTGGCCATGTTATCTTGCTTCTTGACGAGTAGACTGGGATAATATAGATAGTGAACAACACCGGCTGGAACAAGCTTCGCGAGTAGATGGGGGATTCAAAAGAGCGGCGTTGTCCGGGGATTTAAAAAACAAGAACAAGTACAAATCGCATATCTCCCGAACTCTACCACATAGGTCGATGCCTATTAACGCAAACAGAGGAACGAAAGAAATAGGACAGATCTTTTCTCAAATTCGCACTGTTATTAAGTGGCCACACTGCATCCAGTATGCGTGCTCTCGGGGACCGCAATATCAATTCCCATCAGCACATCATGCACATCCCAGGTTTCTGAAATCGTTTTCCAAAGCATTTTCACATCGACTCGCCCGCGAGACCTCAGACTATACCGATGTGGTTGTCCCCCTGGGCCAAAAAATGAAAAGGCTGTTTCGCACGGGTGGTGATCCCGTTCCCCTTCTCCTCCAGTTCCAACACTGTAAGCTCTCTCAGCCTCCTCATCAATCTCTAAAGCCGGTCGATGTCGATACAGATCTCCTAATCCGCCAGACTAGGGTATTCATCCTCTTTTCGGCAATAGGCAAAATCTTCCAGGGTAAGCTGAAGGCCCACTTGATCGTCTGTTTCTTCTCTCTTCTGGCCGCTTTTGCATCGGATTCCCTATGTATTAAAGAATTAGAATAGTCGTCTCAGTGGGGTTGGTTGGACCGACCTTGTGCTCTACATCGACACGAGCGATTTCGTCCTGGTCGTTGTAAATGGGTCTCCAGATCTTGACTGTGACTTTCTTGCTCCGCCTGGCGCCTAGCTTAATGCCAACAGCAGTGCGGATTTCTGCCACTGTGCCACTGATGTACTCTTTGGAAAGACGACCTAGGTTCTTCGATGTCTGCGAGTGAGCAATCTCAAGATTGAGGCTGGGATATGTCCGAGATCCGAAAGCCCATTACCAGTCAGGGTCACGGCAGACTTATCTCCCTTGTCCTCGACCCTGGAAGGCGCATGGATAGAAATGGTAGTGGATCCTTTGGCACGGATAGACTGGGTAAAGCGGGATGTCGGGCTCGAGGAGCAGTTTGTTTTCAAGAATTTCTGCTGGGACTTGTCGATTTCGCCGATGACTTGTCCCCTGGATAATGTCGTGGATGTCATACTCAGGCGTTCTGAGAGCTAAGATCTCATCTGCAGTAGAATAGTCATGACTGGGGTTTCCATCAGCAAAGAGCAAATACTGTTTATGTTAATTACGGACCATTCGTCAGCGTCTATCCCCTGAGTCTACTTCGCTTCCTCAATTTCTCCAGCAGCCCATACTCGGATGGGGTCAAAGGGTATTCTGACCAGTGAGCAGTGATCGGAGATGGATTGCCCAGATAGTACAATAGTGCAGGCAGGTAGGTGAACCTTGAGCGCCGACAATTATGACGGATTAAGTGATTGAGTGGGTGAACGTGAGGACAATTGGGCGGATTTGGAGGTGGACACAGCAGAGTCATCGTGGCCGTGAGAGAACAAACTAGCGTGCTCCTTCTTCGAGGGCCCAGCGCGGTACTTCTCTAGAGATACCATTGTGCAAAACTGATTCTGTCCACATTGCCGCCTTCCTCTGTCCGTCTATAGGGTCGACGAAGGCACCGTCAGAGATCTATATCACTACGGCGGCGTATACGAATTGCACCGTAAGATTTGTTAAGGCGGCAAGGTATGCAGCGTCGGACAAGTGAGAGAGACAAAGGTTTCCGACGATAGTACTGTTAGAGCAGCGACTAGCAAGGGTCTGCTGCCGTACTTGGCGCACAACTTCTATCATACAGGCAAAACTGGAAAGACGTCGCATTGCGATGCTGCGTAGGCAGAATACTCATTTTGGCTCAATATTTGTCTCCATGTTATTGATATTAGTTAGTCGTAAGCTGCACAGCATGTTTCTCCCCTTGTTGTCGTTCTTTCTCGAATTGGACTCTCTGCTTCTCCGAACAAGATACTCTTTACAGAGAGCAACTAACCCAATAAAGGTTAATGGCGGGAAGCCAGGTTCTTGGCGTGGTTCGGTTGCGTACCTAAAGTACGAGGGACGCTCGGACATGACGAACCACTGACATCTTCGTGCATCAGGTTGGGGTTCTGTCCTTCGACTCCACCACTCCTGCACCACGGCGAGCGCAGCTTCCTTCTTCATCGAAACATTTCACTGCTATCTTGTGGGCAGTTGCGACCTGCAGCGATATGGCTCCTCCGAGCTCAACCGCCAGAAGAGGGCCCAGTGTTCTGGTTGGTCTCCGAAATGATCCCGTCTCCCATGCAGCATGTTGTCTGATGCGGTAACTAACATTGAGCTGGAACAGGTGTCTGATCCACGCGAAACCAGACCTTTCCCGCAGACCCGCAGACAACAACCTGCTCGCTTCATCACCGTCGATAGTGTCCTCCAATATGCCTCCGACGTCCCTTCCGCCCATAACAGGCATCCCCAGCGGCCCCGACCCTTTCGAACTAATTCAGGCAGGCCTGTTGATCCGAGACTCACTGGTCGCTATATCGGTCCGCATATGCCATCTCGGTCCACTAAGACCTCCGAGAAGCTAGTCCTGTTGCCTGAGGCTGTCGAAGAGGAAGAAGAGAAAGGCGACTTTGGGCCTGACGCTGACAAGGGCCCACCCAAAGACGACGAGGATTATCGCAGACCTGGGAAAGAGGGTGTCAAAAGCTACGCAGAAAGGTTACCCAAGGCAAGACGTACGGAACAGGAACTTCCCAGAGTTACGGCCTACTGCACAGCTCAAGCATACAAGCTGCAGTCCACCGCGACGTTTGTCAGGCAGCGCCATGGAGCCAGAGCTAAGCTCTACGATGACTGCCTGTACTGTGCGTATCATCTGCCTTTGTTACCAGGCAATGAAGGCTATCGGATCCGAAGCAGTCCGCCAGTCAAGAGCGCCAAGGGTGGAACGGTCCTGGATGAAGAGATTGCACGGAGCGAACAAAGAGACTACCGGGAACCATATTATGCAGAGGAAGAGGAACAGCATTCGGTGAGAGGTAACTACACGCCGGATGAGCAGCCTGTTGAGCCAAGTCCCGGTGACTCGAGTCATCTGGAACGACCACGACTCAACGGGCAGCGGAGAGACAGCGGCAATTCGCAGAGATCAAACAGTCCCGGTGCAAGTCTTCCTGTCGATGCGTACCGATTTGCGGAAATGTTTGTCTTTAGCTATGGAGTGGTTGTGTTTTGGAATTTTAGCGAGAGGCAGGAGAAAGACGTCCTGGCTGACTTTGCTTTTGCGACGATTGTTGACCCAAAGACCAACATCGTATCGCCCATCACCCTAACGACAAATGCCTTGGATGAGGAAGATTTTGAGACGGAGGACTTCCACTTCGAGTACAACAATGAGATTTTGCGCCCACGAGTATACAACGATATGATTACACTTCGCAGCGGCGACCATATGATCAAGCTGGCCATCAGCCATGCCATTGCTCAGAGCACCAAGCTAAGCTTCTTTGAGGAAACCATGGCCGCCCAGATGGAGGCGGCCAAGGATGTGCCCGGCAAGTTGGCCAAAACAGGAGAGCTGGGGTTGAAACGAGAAGAAGTCATCAAGCTGCTCGGAGGCCTATACAAGAGCCGAGTGGAGGTCAATTTGTGTAGGTCACCTTTCGCCTTATTTGTCAGGATCATGTGTGCTCACTCTTGCAACCATCTAGCATCGAATGTCCTCGACGTACCCAACCTGATTTGGGATAGCGAGCCGACCCTGCATCCGCTGTACAACGCGGTACGCGAGTACCTTGAAATCAAACCGCGGATTCAGATCCTCAATGAGCGTTGTCGGGTGTTCCTCGACTTGACCGAGGTCTTGTCAGACTACATTTCCGATGACAAGATGTCCAGGATCAATTGGATTATCATAGTCCTGATCGTGATTTCCATCCTGGTCACATGCTCGGAAGTGTTCCTACGTTTTGGGATTTTGAGCACACGAGGTGGAGACAAGAGTCCTCAGGCATTGCAGGGGTCATTGTTAAGCAGCGAGCTCTGAGGGCCAAAAACCCCTGTTCGGAATAATTCACCGTCAACGTATATCGTATATAGTTTACTTCCATGTCCTGTATTTGCTGATAGCGAGGAGTTGGCAGGTGAAGGGGCTGCAGGGCGAGAAAAGCAACTTTGTTCTTGTAAGTTACTTCTGCTTGTGCTCGGTACAATGAGGAAGGTCGGTCCATAACCGTCAGTATATGCGCCGTCTCGGCTAGGAAATTGTGCTTCTGGAAGTTCCGCCGTAGCGGGCGGCAAGGCAATCTGGGAGGGGCCGAGGCTGCGAGCAAGGAACTCTGTATTCGGTAGATTGTGGCAATTGTCGAGCTGCACACGTTGTGTCGAGTGCTCGTCTATCTCTTGTTGGTGCCCTCATTACCCACCAGACTGCGCGAAATGGGGCACCGACAATCCTTGGACTTGCCCAGAAAGCGGAGGCGACCGATGTGTGGGCTGGAACACAGGCGCTGACAAGGGGACATAGCAGGAGGCAAGTCGTTGATTCGACAGAACGGCGAGAGGAACGGTCAGCACCAGACAGCCAGGTTGCATTGGAACTGCGACAGCGAAGCGATCAGTCTTGTAAGAAGCCCAAACTGGACCTTAGGATCGTTCTCTTATCACTTGGCGAGCTGTCACGGTCTGTCTTGGCCTGATAGTCGAACTCGGACTGCCTGCCTGAGCAGGTCGATTAGGGCTGAGATGGGGAGGTTGGTTGAAATTATGCAGAAGGCGACAGGCTGGATAGGCCGGGTGCAAGACGAGGGAGACCAGGGAGACCAGGGAGACGAGGCGCATCTCGACACCGACAAAATGCCAAGAAACGTGACGGTGTAGCGTTGCAACGGTTGGACCATCAGTGGCGTTGAGCGAACATCCCCAGGCATCCCTTCGCCAGCATCCCACCACTCATCTTCCCTTCGACACTGCTACAACCATACACCTTGCGGTCGGCCAGCAGATCCTCACTGTCCACGCGATCCACTTTGCATTGAGATTCGCACAATTCGACCTCGTCTGCCCCTGCAAGCTCGCCGGAGCTCCCATCCTCTTTCGGCTTTCGCGAAGACCAAACAGAACCCTGCCGCATTGGTGCTCACCACCCACTCGACTCACTGCTTGGAGAAGGAAAAAGTACATAACCATTACCCTATTCCACCATGTCTCCGTGGTTGATCACCTTTGTCGCCTTCGTCCCCGTCCTTCTGGTCGCACTTTCCTTTCTGCGATCCACTGTTCTCTCCAAGTACCTTGACGACAAGCACGAGCGGAGACGGCCAGCAGGATGAGCTCAAATCCAGACCCCGTTGACCCAAAGGAGCCTAAGATGGTCAACGACCACGCCGTGAACACGCACCCGACCGATGCGCCTGCCGAGGCTGGGGAGCGCAGACGGACACACCACGACATTCCCGATCATGGCCACAACCCTTCCATGCAGAAGGACGTTGACGAGAACCCAGACTTGACTCTGCATTACTCCCACGAGCATCAGCACAAGCACCTGCACCACGGCCGCCCTTCGCTGACCGGTCGCCATGACGAGGTCCTGTACGCCGAGGGCACCACCGTCGACCAGCATATTGGTACCAAGAACCCTCAAGACTATGTGAAACACCAGCTCCGACGACCCTCGGAGCAGGTCAATGAGAAGGACTTCATCACCATGGGTGACGCCGAGAAAGGAGACGTGGGTCCCACGCAGGTAATGACAAATGGTTCAGAGGACGACGGCAAGAAACATCGCTTCTCGAGAGCATACGGAAAGTATAAGATATTTGTTCACCTTTTCATTTGGTTGCTGTTCACCGGGTGAGTTTCGCCGATTCTTTCGTCATGAGAAGCCTCCTCATTTATTGCTGCAGATGGTGGATCGCCGGTTTGGTTCTGCACCGCTACGACCTGGGCTGGCTGATTCCTTTTCTTCTCTACCTCGCTATCACTCTGCGCCTTATCTTCTTCTGGGCTCCCATCACCATCGTCACTCGACCAATGCATTTCGTCTGGAACAACACGGGCGTGAGGGTCTACCAGGTTATTCCAGAGAAACTCCGCATTTGGCTCGCTGCGCTGGTGGCACTCGCCGTCATCCTGGTTGGGTCATTTGTCTCGGAGGAATCTGCTGACAACACTCGTGGAAATCGTGCTATTTCCCTTCTGGGGCTTGCCGTGATGATAGCTGTTCTGTGGATTACTTCGCGCGACCGTCGCAAGATTCGCTGGCATACCGTCATTGGCGGCATGTTGACGCAATTCGTCATTGCGGTATTCGTGCTCCGAACAAAAGCAGGTTACGACATTTTCAACTTCATCTCGTTCCTAGCTCGCCAGTTGCTAGGCTTTGCGGACCAGGGTACCTCGTTCTTGACGGCAGAGAGTGTCATCGACCTGCACTGGTTCTTGACCGGAGTCGTCCCTCCGATCATCTTCTTCGTCGCATTCGTGCAGGTCTTGTATTATCTGGGTGTCTTGCAATGGTTCATCGGAAAATTTGCCGTGTTTTTCTTCTGGAGCTTACGTGTCTCCGGTGCCGAAGCCGTCGTGGCAGCAGCTTCTCCCTTCATTGGGCAAGGCGAATCCGCCATGTTGGTACGGCCGTTCGTTCCTCACTTGACGCTGGCCGAAATCCACCAAGTCATGTGCTCTGGCTTCGCGACTATTGCCGGGTCAGTGCTAGTAGCTTATATTGGTTTGGGACTGAACCCGCAAGCGCTGGTGTCTTCCTGTATCATGTCAATTCCAGCGTCGTTGGCGGTGTCGAAGATGCGATACCCGGAAACCGAGGAGACCATAACTTCTGGTCGAGTGGTCATTCCTGACGACGATGAACATCGCGCAACAAATGCTCTGCACGCCTTTGCCAATGGTGCTTGGCTGGGTATCAAGATCGCGGGCATGATTGTGGCTACTTTGCTTTGCATTATCGCATTGATTGGATTGATCAATGCTCTTCTAGGGTGGTGGGGAAGGTAAGTCAAACGATTTTATCAACCTACCCAGAGTCTGTCACATTCGGGAAGTTCGATCCACTCATTTGTCTCGATCTTTCGAATAGGTATATCAACATCACCCAAGACGGCGAGGCCTATCTGACCCTCCAACTTCTCCTGGGGTATATTTGCTACCCAGTGGCCTTCCTGTTGGGTGTGCCTCGCGACGACTTGTTGAATGTGGGTCAGCTCATTGGCATCAAAGTCGTCGCAAACGAGTTCGTTGCGTACAACTCTCTCACCAGCGAGCCAAAGTATATCAACATGAGTCCGCGCTCAAAGCTGATTGCGACATATGCGTTGTGCGGTACGTCTCCTTGTACTTTGAAGCCCCACGCTTAATCGGCACTTGTGTGACTTGGCACGTTCGTGTATGCCATGCTAACTGTTCCTTGCAGGATTCGGCAACTTTGGCTCTCTGGGCACCCAAATCGGCGTGCTCAGCCAGATCGCCCCTTCTCGCTCCGGCGATGTTTCTCGTGTCGCTCTCTCGGCGTTGTTTTCAGGGGTGCTCTCTACGTTAACTAGTGCGAGTATTGCCGGCATGTTGGTGACGGATCAGGTTACGTTAAGTCAGAAGAGCTCTTAGTGAACGACTGTGGTATGTCTCGTAGGACAAAAATTAAGCTTCAACCCCGTCACGTGTATGAGCATCCTTGTATGGGGAGAGTGAGAACAGCACTGAGAGAAAGAGGCCCGACGGAGGAAGCGTCTGCAGTAGATATGTCCATGGCAGGACAATATAACTTGACCTGCTTTGATCCCCCCATTCCTGACGATTCTTTGAGCGCCGCACAAGAAGGAGCGAGCACGTGGTCGTATATTATAATCTGGTGGATTCCGGTCTACTCTACTTGCCCGCCCTCGTGATCTCCTCTGCGTCCCCACCAGCGTGACGTCCTGTCCCGGCTCCGGCCAAACCCCCGTCCCCGCCACTAGCAGTCGGAGCGGATGAGGCAGAAGTATCGACGTGCTCGCTGGACGCGTCGACGACGCCGACGCCTCGCTCCGCGGCCATTCGCCGGATCTTGGCCTTCTCACGCTCAGCCTCGATGGAGCCCATCTCGCCGAGCCCGTACCACACGACGGTCGCGACGCCGAGGATGCCGGCGACAATGCTGAATGTCAGGGCGACGATGCCCCGCGTAGTGAAGCCGTCGGGCAGAGGTGGCGGAGAGACGTTGGCGCCGCTCAGGTCGAGAAGGTCGTGTGTGTTGGCTGCGGCGTTGCCGGCCGTTGGCATGGACAGGGCGGCGCAGGCGGCAAAATGGTCGTCGGGAATGCGGGCGGGGAGGGTTTGTTGAAGGATGAGGGGGGACTAGAGGGGGGAGGAAGGAGGTGTTAGGATGGAATTACTGGCCCACACACACACACACACACACACACAGAGAGAGAGAGAGAGAGAGAGAGAGAGAGAGAGAGAGAGAGAGAGAGAGAAAGAGAGAGAGAGAAAAGGGGGAAAGTGGAAGAGAGAAGTTCCAGGAATAGCGAAAGCTAGATAGATCCAAAAACGCACCTCGACAAAAGTCATGACCAGCCCCGAATCAACGTGCCATTCGATGTGGCAATGGAACAACCACACGCCGGGGTTGTCGCTCCTGAATCTCATCACGATGTGTCCGTTGGGCCTCACCAAGATCGTATCCCGCCTCATCGGTGTCCTGGGCAGGACCAGGCTGCCATTTTTGACCGCGTTGGGGTCGTAGTCGCCCGAGTCTTCGGCGCCGCGCACGACCGCCTGGAAGGTGTGGCCGTGCAGGTGAAACGGATGTTTGCCCGGGTCTTGGTTGTTCAGGACGATCTCGACGACTTCGTTGTGGCCCAGGACGTAGGCGTGCGTGTTGACGCCGTAGACCTCGGCATTCGCCGCGAGAGCCCCGGTCGTCAGCGCCGTGTACAGGGAGGGCACTTTGGGCCGGACGTAGGTGATGCCGTTGAAGAATGCGTAGTTCTACACGCGGCACGCAAGGGATGTTAGTCAAGGTCTCGTGGAGAGGGTCACGGATTCAGGGGAATGGACGGGACTCACGACCCCATCACCCAGATTGTTCATCATCAGGTCAAGCTGGACGACCAAATCAGGGGCGTCAAGCAGCTCCTCTCCATCGGTAGGTCTAAGCTCCATATCATCAAACGGCTCAAAGGAGTCAATAAGCTGAGGCGTGGGCATCGGTTTATCTGGGTCATACACCAAGAAACTCGTCACGTTCGGGTTCAAGCCCTCGGGCACCTTGTCAAACAAGTCCTCGTCCATCGAGCCCATGATTGCAAAATTCGCACCCGTGTCGTTTTTGGTGGTGAGCAGAACACCGTACCGTTGGGCGGCAGTCAGGTAAATCATGCTGGCTTCGGCGGGTTCATGGTACACGCCGTCCACCTCGACGATGCGGAAGGTGTGTCCTTCTATCCAGAAGTATTGGGCGGCGAAGGCGGCCATGTTGATTATGCGCAAAAAGTAGGTTTTCCCGGGCTGCACGGGGATTTGGAGGTTTTGGGTGTCGTTCATGAGAGCAGATTGTGGTACTTTGCCACGTACTTAGCGCCACAGAGGATGCCGGATTGATTCCAACTTACCTGGCTCGGCACCTGTAGGATTGGTGACGCTCAAAAACTTCTTGATGAGCGTGGGCATTTGTTCATGATACCAGTCCGAGAGCGTCAGCACCAGCTCCTCATCGTAGAGGGCTGCGTATGGATTTTCCGGATCGTGGATGACAAGCGGCCCTCGAAATCCATCGGGATACTGTCCGTCAACATGCGAATGATACCAATATGTGCCTGGCTGAGTGACCTGATGTCGGCGTTAGTCCAGGAGTAGCTTCGCCGGGAAGAAGTCGGGCACACATTGAAATCATACGTAAAGACGGCACCAGGAGGTACCGGGCATTGCGTTGTACTCGCAACGCCATCCATATGATTTGAGCCGTTCATGAAAAGACCGTGGAAGTGAATCGAGGTCGACTGGTTTCCCAGATCATTCTTCAGATGGACAATGACCCTGTCACCCACGTCGGCCTCGATTCGGGGCAAGGGCCACTGGCCATTGATGCCAATGGTAGGCCTGTTGAACAGGCCATCGGGGTTTGTGATCACCCAGCCGGCAGTGAAGTTATACACCCGTGTGGCTGCAGAGACCAATGACAGCAGGAAGGCCGTACATATGAAGAGGAAGTTGGACAGAGACAGAGCCATGATCTCTGTCCTTGAGAGGGAGCTCAATAGAAGCAAGGAAAGATATCGACCATCAAGATCAGATAAGATTTTTAGAAGGGGGGGGAAGGGCCCGACTGCCCTTTGCCGGCAGAGCGGAAAAGCGGCAAAATGTCTGGCAATCGTTTCGACCCTCGACGTTGCTCCGAAACGGCTCCGACGCGGGAAGAAATTTCGAATAATCAGACGGTCGATCAGATTAGATCACCACTCAACTCGTTTCGCATCAGCAGGGCAGGAAAGACTCTTCAACTCTTTCGTGGCCTGAGGAAATTGTATTGAGTGGCGGGGCTCGTCGGGCTTGGACGGTGGCCAGCAATGCAGGTCGTCAAGCGAACAGCCAAGACGAAAACCATTTAACCTGTAGGGGAGGGCATGACGTGTAGGGTCCCTTGGCGGAAGTGGTCCAGACAATCAGGCTAAGTTGACGTTTCGTCGTCGTCGTCGCCAAGCTAGCCGGTCGAGGCTTGATTTCTGGCTGCTTCGTGGGACTCGAAGGAAAGAAGCTGCCGCGAGCTCACCAGAACCTGAGACTGAGAGATACGCAGAGAGAGAAAGAGAGGGACCGTCTTGGCTGGTTGTCGATGAAAGCGACAGGAAGGACCCGAGGACAAAGGTGGTGCGAAAAGGGATCCGACAAAAGAAAACTGAATAGTAGTATCAACAGCTGTGAATCTACTGGGTAATCTGGTGGATCCATGTCCCATTGTCTGGCGACCTGAACGCCGGTCAGTTTTCTTTATTTGATCAAAACTGTTGATTGTGCCACGAACCTTTCTGGGCTTTACCACTTTGCTTGCAATCCACCGTCCGCTGCTGAGCGCCTGCAACGTTTGTGGCGCTGCATTGAATTGATCCTGGGGGGGGGCAATGTCAACAGAGGGCCGTGAACCCAAGGATTAGGGAGGGAAGAGGCCGGAGGGTAGTTTGCAGTCGAGCTCCAGCCGGACAGTGCGGAGCGATGCGCCGTTGACGTGCATGTGTGCGAAGCAGAGAATTTCCCTGGCTGGTAAAGAATTCAACTCTGCCCCAACCCAACCCGGGCATCAGCCGACGACAGCACTTTCACGAGCCGTGTTATGCAGGGTGACCAATCGACCGACTATTTTTGCTGGGGCGGCAACAAGCGGCCATGGTAAAGTGTGTGCCAGGGGGGAAGTGGGTGCGCAGGTGAGCAAACGAGCGGACTTCTCCAATGGCCTTTGCGGGAGAAAATGATGGTGGAACCTCACGGCGGACCAGAGGAGCTGGTTGTCGAGTCGTAGAACAGAGTCAAGGAGCCCGAGAGAGAAAGAGAGAGAGGGAGAGAGAGCGACATCGGCCAAGTGGACTGACTGGAGTGACGGAGTGACTGAGTGACGAGGGTTTGGCTATTCTGTGGTGCTGGTGGTGGGCGCAGTCTGGAATTTTCATCCATGGCATTGACCAGTTTTCGTGGCCAAGAAATGGTAGTGCGCAGCGCAGTTCAGGTCCCAGATCGCAGGTCGCAGGTCGCAGGTCGCAGGTCGCAGGTCGCAGGGGCCAGGTCCCAAGGTCCCCTGTCCGCTGTCCGCTTGGCCTCCCCCCCACTCGCCGATTCGCCCTCCCGGCCACTCGCCCAACGCTCGGCTCCTCGACCACTCCCGAGTGTGCCCTCCCTGGGGTCTTCATGCATCCATCACCTGAACTCGAGGGGGAAAAAAAGAATTAATCTTATCAGATGCACTCTTCCCGTCACCAACCCGCCCAATCCTCTCCCTATATCCTCTGCCATCTTTTGCTGGAAGGGGAGCTTGGATGAACAAAGGCTGCCAGAAACAATAAAGACAGGGACCAGACAGCTTACCCGAGTTGGAGGGGGAAAAAAAAACATATCCACGCGCACCAGCTCTCGCCATGCCCGACGTTTTCGCCGTCCCCGTCTTCTTCATCGTCTTCAGAGAGACCCTGGAAACCACGATCGTGGTCTCGGTCCTGTTGTCCTTTCTCAAGCAGCAGCTGGGTCCAGATCGAGACAAGACTGTGTACAAGAAACTGCGCAACCAGGTACGTGGCAGCTCCCACGGCCCCTGTCCAGCCGCCGTGTTCCTTACCTTTTGGGTGTCTTGCAGATCTGGTACGGCACCCTGGTAGGGTTCGTGATATGTCTGATAGTGGGCTGCGGAATGATCGGTGCATTTTATGGCATTGGGACCAACACCTGGGGGACCACGGAGGATCTCTGGGAGGGCATCTTCGCTCTGATTGCCTCCATCATCATTGCAGTCATGGGGGCTGCCCTCTTGCGCGTCTCCAAGATGCAGGCCAAATGGAGGGTCAAGCTTGCGAGGGCCCTGGAAGCCAAGGATAACAGACATGGCAGACTCGGCAGTCGCATCAAGGCCTGGGCCGAGAAGTATGCCATGTTCCTGCTCCCCTTCATCACCATTCTGCGCGAGGGGATCGAAGCCATAGTCTTCATCGGGGGCGTGAGTCTCGGCGTCCAGGCCAGTTCCATTCCCTTGCCGACGTTCTGCGGCCTCGCGGCCGGTTGTGCCGTGGGGTTCATCATATATAAGGGCGGCAACATGGCCCCCCTGCAGTTTTTTCTCATTGCCAGCACCTGCTTCCTCTATCTTGTCGCGGCCGGCCTCTTTTCTCGAAGCATCTGGTTTTTTGAAAACCACGCCTTTAACCGGGCCACCGGTGGCGATGCCGCCGAGAACGGCTCGGGGCCAGGCTCCTATGACATCCGATCAAGTGTCTGGCATGTGAACTGCTGCAACCCGCTGCTGAACGGGGGCGGCGGCTGGGGCATCTTCAACGCCATCCTGGGTTGGCAGAACAGCGCCACCTACGGCAGTGTCATCGGATACAACGTCTTCTGGATCGTCGTCATGGCCGGCCTCATCCTGTTGAGGTTCAAGGAGACCAAGGGCCATTACCCCTTTATGAAATCCAAGGCTGCTGCCGCTGATGTTGCAAGCACCCAAGAGAGAACCAGTGACGACAAGTCGAGCGACTCGAGCGGCATTGGCCCTGTCGACCACAAGGTCGTCTTGGGAATGGATGCCAAACCCAAAGTGCTCGAGAGCCACGCATGAGAGGGGTTGCATCAATAAGGGGGACCGTGGGAAGGAACCGCCCCCGTAGACTTGTTTGAGCAGAACCACAGGCGATTTCGAGATACCTGTATGCTAAATGGGTCCGGGTGGCCAGGAATGCAAGGTTCTTCGAGGGCGCCTGTTGCGGTTTTTGTATCCCGTACATCACGTATCCTTGCTGCGAAATAGCTAATCGATGATTGGCTGCATGGTGCGCAACACTCTTCTCACATGCACTTTTGGCAAACGCTCGACTCTCGACTCTCGAGTCCCGACTTCCGAATCCTTTCTCGTGTCAAATAGGACGGATCTATTAATATAACAAGCTTAATACGTGGCACAAAGGACAAGTCGCAGGTGTACGATCAGAGCTCTTGCTTCGCGTAATTGTGCGGTAGAGATAGGTGCCTTGACTCCTTGATCTGGAACTTTGTGGACCATATTTGCGAAATCAGGTAGATCACCGCAGTTCAAAAAATGCCCCCCTTCGCCCTCTGCAAGATGGTGATTCCCCTTTTTGCTCTCTCGATTTGCCCTCCAGATATTCTCTTCTGCATTAGGCTCAAGGCAAAAGGCATCCTTGCCGACACCCCAGCAAAGCCCTCCAATGATGATACAGCAGCAAAATCGAAACACGACTTTCTTCCCTGTCAACCAATTCAACCTCGGGCCTCCTCCCCATTTCCGGTGACTTACGGTGAACTGCAAACCCTCCCACCCAGCCGTTGCAGTCACGGTAAGTTTCGACCGTCTCATGGTACACGTTCTTCCCAATCGATCTTCCATTTTCAGGTTCATAAAACGCCTGGCGTAGCAGGACCGGGTTGAACATCAATGTAAACCTCGATGGACCCCCAGATCAAATGCCCAGCGTGAATGCGAAAACTATAGTTAGTAGTACAGGGGAATAGAAGGGAGTTAAATGCAGCATAGTAATGTATGAATGTCGACAAATGCATAAACAAGGTGCCGACGTGTGCTGAGGGAAGAGGATAGATCCTACCGGGAAACCTAGACGGTTAGATTCTGCCATAGTTAGTAAAGCTGGACGAAAGTTGGCCAGGGTTCTGGGGTTGCATTGCGACATGCCGAATTTGTTGGGCCGTATGCTATTGCCCGCGGCGGTGGAGTAAGAGTAGACGAAAAATGCACGGTCGACATGAGCGATTATGAAGGTCGTCGACGCTTTGTGTCTGGCGTGTCAAGATCAAGAAGGAGCTCATCATCGTCTTCGGCCTTCCTTTTGGCTTGCGTGCCTTTGACAGGGGTCTGGGGAGGACTAAGATTGGCCGGCAATTCCACTTCATCAGCCGAAGCCGGGTGCAGGGTGTCTTCGCCGGAGGATTCGGCGTTGATGGGAAGCAAAGTTTGAGTTTCAGGCACCTCCGGCTCGCCAGCATTTTGCAAAGTCACCGCAAGGTCTTCTTGTATAGGTGCGGAGACGTCTTCCGCCGGACCTTCGCCATATTCATCCTGAGCGACGAAGAGCTCTTCATCTTCATAAGGCTCATAGCTGGTTTCCGGCTCGAGTCCACTCTCTCCATGGTGGAAAAGATCTTCCGCTTCTTCGGTGAATTGCACAAGCCCTCTTGCTTCGACATCAGCAGCATCGATATCCTGGAGGTCCGTTCCGGCCGAATCGGCTTCCACAGTATGCGAACTGTTTGTTTCATGCTCTTGACCCTCATACAGCTTATCTTCAGCTTCGGGATTTTCCCCCTGCCCAGTTCCACTATTCTCAGGCTCTCGAGTCTCCTCGTACGCGTCCTCTGGCTCATCATCTTGTTGATCAGCTCTATCAAGCAGGTTTACCTGTTCAGCAGTCTCAGGCGCTTCTGTGACTGCGACAGCCTCGGGATGATCTGCATTGGCAGTGACAGGCACAGTGCTTTCAACTGTAGGCGTAGTACCCCGGGTGGCATGATCGGAGAAGATATCATCCTCCGCCTGCTCTTCCTCGTCGAAGGTATCTAGATGATGATGATCATTACCAACACGAGCCGTGGGCGGTCGATTGTCCGTACTCTCCGCGATGACCTTTGTTTCATTGTTGGCAGGCGACTGATCGCCTTCGTTCTGATGTTCGTGATAGTCATGATCTTCTCCTGCGTCGTCGCCCTGCAGCTCTGGAGAATCTAAGTGATCGGCAGCGATTTCAGCATAGGTCTTCCCTTCGGCTTCCGCGGAACAGAGGTAGGCATATTGCGACGCCAGGCTCACTCGGCTGCTGAGGTGACAGTATAGAGGTTGAGACACTTGACCTGCGTCATTGTTGCAAAGGCGCAAATAGACGTCGAGGATCTGAGATAGTGTAATCTGAGCAGCATACTTTGAGTCCTCGCAGATGTGCAGACCTAGCCCAGGCACGTCAAGCACAAGCTCATCATGGTGATCCAGGGTTCCAGTCAAAATCTCACGACATGCTGCGAGTAGTCTGTCCAGAGGCTCAAAGGCCAATGAAGCGTCGGGCAGGAAGTACACGCTCGAAGCGTCGCCGAGCATGGGCGGGAAGAGCGACATTTCCTCTTCGAGATAAACTAGGGTCACAGGATGCACGGTCTGAGCAGCTCTTTCATCTTCGGTCTTCGCCGTGTTATCACGTTGGTCTTTGGGCCCGGATTCATTTGTTTCGACGGTTGCCTGAGAGTCAGCCCCACGACGACTACCTTCCTCCTGTTGGGGAGCATGATCATCAGCCTCAGCTGATTGATGTTGTTCTAGCGGTTCCGCAGCATCATCACGCTGCTCACCTTGCTCTCGTTCAGGAGCTTGACCCTCCTCGGCTTGGTTCCTTGGATATTCTTGAGATGTTCCCGGCGTCCCAACTCTTGAAGTCCGAGTCTCCCCTTGATCTTGGGCTGCATCTTCTGCGACAGGGACAGGTGCCTCAGCGGAGAAAGTTTCAAATTGATTAGTACCTATATCGGTGTGGTCTTGTTGTTCCGGCTGATCCGCAGGTTCTTCTAAAATCACGTTGGCTTCCACCTCTTCAAAGGCCCGTGGCTGATCCTTATTTGTGTCGTACTCCGCAGTTCCTTCAGTGTCTGGCACAGCCATACCGATATCCTCGTCGTCTTCATACAGGATATCTTCATCTTCATCACCTTGAGCTTCTTCGATAGAGGCATCCATATTGTAGTCCAGGTCGGGTTGCTCGGTTAGCATCGATACATTCTGTTCATCATTCATATCATCATCCAATAATGTCTCATCAGGTTGGTCTTCCATAGTATCTGGTCTCGTATTGAGAAGTCCCGCAGGGTCATCAACCATGTCGTCGAGAGGAGAACCAACTACGGAAGGATCGCGGATGGAATCGAGGTCGATGTCGAGATCGTCGTGCTGTCGAAAAGGCGAGGAGGCTACGTCCATTTTGTCATCAAGCTGCGACGCGTCCACGTCTGGAAAAGCAAACGAAGGGATCGCAGCCATTGCGAAGGGTAGCGGAGGCGCCACAGAACTTTGGCGGCGTCCCACGTTTGCCGCCCCCTCTTACTCTTTGCAGTGCGAAAGCTTTGTCCGATGTTGAGATGAGAGCTGTGGCGATTGGCGGTGCGGGCAGAGTGACAAAGGGCGATAATCGATGGTAGTAGCGCGGCGAAGGTCATTCGGGTTGAGGTGCTCTGATCGCGAGATCGAAAGAAGATACTGTTCTACGTTAAGAGCCTGCTCTTAAAGTATGATTCGTAATCTTCTGAATCATCGCAGTGTTTGCCGGATGAGTCAAAGAAGGACAACCAGATGCGAAGGCAGCAGGAGTTGCAGTCGAAGTCGCTCGAATCTTGCTGCCAAGCGCCGTGTCCCAAAGTGGATTAGTGTACATGACGAAGGACCTCTTCCATGTTTGTGCTATTTGTGCTGTTTGCGCCGTTTGTGTGACAACCACAAACTTGCTGCTGCAGCCTAGACTTTGTTGGAATCTCGATCCGTGGACCACGGCCAGGAATCAGTCGCAAGATGGCCATTTGCGCTGACAACTTATCTCAACATTGCAGCTGAGAATAAAGGTTAGTAAATGACTCTGAGCCTTGGTGATGACTCTCAAGAGGTACCACCCTTGAATTCACGTCCATTTACAGTCTCCGAAAAGTAAGAATGCACGACTACGATACAAATGTGACGTCTGTAAAAATGAATGTGCCACAGACGATCCCGCCTATCGCTTCGCCGGCTAGGGACTCTCAATGCTTTGAGCGCCAGTTTCCATTCCAGGGTCGATAATAGAAATAACAAGAACAAAGCCAACAACATTGAGGGGTCCAACCTTGCTGGGAAGACACATATTGCATAAGGGTCAAACGAAGTTACCGGCATTGCCCAACCTCCTTTTCCCACCTGGACAAACACGTGTTTGGGAACATGTCCTCAGCTCTTGAGTCGTAGGGAACACAACACGAGATCACCTGCTTCAATCGATTGTGGCTGTGTACCGCCTTGCTCCAACAGACTGCGGCTTCCAACTAGTGCTTCTACACAGTCAATGACCAGCGGCGTTCAGCTTACTGGATTTCAACTGTGGCTATGACTGCAGGTCGCCCGGCAGGCCGACGACTCTTGCAACTCGAACGACGCCGTTTCGCCCAACCTAGGCGTCAAATCTAGCGAATTTGCTCTCTTCAGCCCTCTGGATCACATGAACCAACACCTCGGCCAGTGGTCAACAGTATTATCTAGCCGCAGTCACATATCCATCTCTAATGCAACTTCTAAGAATTTGAAGAGTTCCATTGGGTCCAAGGCTGTAACCTGCCAGTCTAGACAAACTCGCTAGATCCAACACGGAGTCTGAAATCTATGGTCCGTGGAGTCGTTCATATTCACGCTGAGAGGTAGGCAACAACACAGGCTTCCCAAATTCATAAAGGCTGCCCCTTGGATGCCTTTCTCTGCCCGGTTTATGCACTCATCAACACTCCATGGGCAAATTTTCCGTCCTGAAACTTGCTGTCGAATGTCGTCTCTCATGGGACCTCGTCATTGGCCGGCTCTCCTGCCATACCAGACCATTGCTTGAACAGACGTCCAATGGCTGTATAATTACTCACTGTTGCGTAGTATCTCTCAATTTTGATTCTGCAAATATACTGTACATCCCGATCTCTCCAATATGGCCTACAGCGCTGGAAGCACAGCACAGGCAACAATTATGGCGTGCTTGCACCCTGGAAACCCCTTTTCTATTCGCTATCATTTTCAAATACCTCATATTATAGATGCGTACCACCATTTGCGAATTCGGTTTTGTCGATCCGCGATTCCGATTCCGGCTCAACTGCCAAATTCACAACACCTGGGCTTTGAGCATCTTGGAAGAGGTTTCGTTAAACTAGCTCCTCTACCGATCAACTGACAGCGTATATCAGAGGATCTCAAGGAATACCTGCCTCATTTCCCCTCCGTGCAAGCAATCCTGGGACAATGTCAAGACAGGTAGACCACGGAGAGCGCGTCCAACATCCATATCAGAACCCACCAGCCTTACTGGATAATCTGCTGCCCGCGCCAGAAGAGGATGAGAATCGAAGGGATTTTCCATTCGAGGTTACTTTTGAAGACGTTGAGCATGCTCTCTGGACAGCAGAACAATTCGAAGATCCGTCCTTGGTGTTCAAAGAATACCAATATCTGACAGAGAATGGATTTGAGCGACTCGGTAATGCTACTCTGAGCCAGAAACGACGGCTTGCTCAACAATGGCTATTGTACGGCCTCCTCTCCTCAACAGTCGGTATCACCAAAAGAGAAGACATCATAGACTGCTACAATCACCTTGGGGGATGCGGATTCCGAAGAAAGCTCCAGCTTTGGTGCAACAAGCTACAGGATGTGAAGGTTATTGAAAACAGGCTCAAATTCGCCGCAGTACGAATTGACGAACTGGATTCGCGAGCATCAACGACAGAAAACGCGACCATGGAAGACGAGACATTGGCAGCGCTTTTACTGTGTGTTAAGCTGGTGATGGAATATATCGCTTCGGTTGTAGCGGCTCGTCAAATCACGCCCCCCAGAGCCGGTCTCCTCAGCCGTCGCTACGAACCTTGGTTCTCCAAGAGCCTCAGACTTGCAGACAACGTGCGCCACGCATGGCCAAATGCGGATGATGAGAGACAGGTGAAACTTTTTCACGTGCTTTCCCCGGGAAGCTCAATGCCGTGTAGCTTGACCGGAGAGCTTCTTCAGACGTGGTTCAATCAGAACGGATGGTGTCCTGTTATCGTAAAGCAAATTCTGCGGAAATATGATTATTCGATCGCGTATTACCTTTGCCGAATTCGAACTCAACAGCCCGGAATTGACCACGCAAGATGCATGTCTGCCTTAAGGTGTGAGGCATATGATCTCGGTACCGAGGAACAAATATTTTATGAGCCAGCCCATGCACCAGAATGCCCGAACCAAACGGACGATTTGGTTCCAGTCCAGTATCAAGATTTCCATAAAAAGCTCTGCGACATGGTCACGGAGAGCAAAATACCGATTTGTTACATTGATCCCTCAGCCGAAGACGAGGATTTCAACATCGGTATTGAACCGTACACTGGCCGACAAAACTTCACCGCAATCTCACATGTTTGGAGTGATGGAATGGGTAACCGAAACAAAAATCAAATACGGAGATGTCAGCTAAGACGCATTAAAGAGGAGCTGCAAAAACTGGAGGACGAGAAGGAAAAGGCGTTATCTCCAGTGGAGAAGATATTCTCTCTGGGAGTTTCCAAAACCCCTCGCGGCCATCGAAGACTGTATTTCTGGCTCGATACTCTCTGCATCCCCAGAAAAGTCCGCAGGAACGACAATAAGAACGACGACCTGCGCGAATATGCAATGAGACATATTACCCCGATATTTCAAGCCGCTGATCAAGTCCTTGTCATTGACCGTGGAATCGAACAGCAGACCAAGCTCACCGAAGATCTACTATCGGCGCGTATACTATCTTCAAAATGGGCTCAACGTGCTTGGACGTTTCAGGAGGGTGCCTCAGTTAGGAATGTCCGTTTCAAGATAAATGGACAAAACCCTGCAGTCCTGCAAGAATTGACGTCAGCACAAAAGCCCCTCTGGTTTTTCGGACGCGCTTTTGACCGGCAACTGACAAAATTGACGGCGCAAGGTCAGCTAGGGATCTTTTTGGAGCTGGTATCATGTGCCAAGCGTATACTCATGGGAGAAAAGCTGCCGGTTTCGCCGAAAAGCGCGTTTTGGGTACCCCTCAAAACCATTCACGCGTCCACGTTGAACGACATTCGAAAGATAGGGACACGCGCAGGGAGACGAAACAGCGACAAGACTGAATACGGGGGTTCGAAGTCGGACATTTTGATTCACGTCCACAACGTCCTCATCCACAGGAGTGCCACGCGCCGTGAGGATCCTCTGTATATCACCGCAAATATGCTCAACTTCGATGCAAGTGGCTTCTCCAGAGCCAACGTGGAAGTACACGGATTGCCTGCAATTCTCAGAAGATGTGGGAAGCTTCCACTGTCCTTGCTCTTCAACTCAAAACTGTCCATCTACAGGGATGTGAGCTTCATTGAGATGAATCCTGAACATTCATGGATCCCTTCACGAATTGAGGGCGACGAGCTGTTTCCGGGAGCTACCATGGATGTATTGGAAAATGGGTGGCTCTCCTTGAATATCGAAGGAGTACCAAGAGTGCAAGTCTTGAAGGTCGAACAGGTAATACCATACGGACGGTTCCAATATCCACACATTCAAACTCTAGAAGTCAGCGGAAATAGCGAGAAAGCGATGGGCGTATATGTCGTTGAGCACCATTTGCCTCATCATCGTCTCAGTCCTGAGCGCCGGGTGGAGGATAGCGTTGAATATGGGGTCGAAGTGTCGCATGATGAACGTATTGAGTATTATACCCGGGCGGAACGCCAACTTCAGGACCAAAAAGCCACATTATATCTGATCGACAAGTCGACGGGATCTGCTGGACTCGGCGGTTACACTGGCCGCGGAGCACGGCTGGGTTTGATTGAGAAATCAACGGGCAGACAATACGTACAATTTGTCTGCCCTATCACTGCGTGGACAATAAGGCAATGGAACACTGCTCATTCAATTCCACAGTCGGTCAATGAGAGCTGCAGAGTTGGAGGATCTGCGATTGAAGCCCGCGATATAGGGCATGAGAGACCAAAGTTCCATCTCCGATGTGGTAAGTATGGCCTCTAGTTTCCTGCCATTGAAAAGACAGTCAACTTTCGCTGCGTGACCGGACAGTATGTCGGTGGTTTCGTGGGCACCTGACACATGCTTTTGACATTTAATAGCACCGACAAATCGAAAGCTAACTTACTAGGTGGACTTAATGGCCCGAAGCTTGAAACAAGAAATGTATTCACTCCAACCTTTCGACATCCCGGTTCCATGGCCATGATCATAGCGACTGGCACGATGACCATTGTAGTAACCATTGTAGTCGTGTCTACAATAGGGGCTTGCTTCAACAATTGTAACGCAATGGTCATCCCCATCGGCATCGCCATGGGCGGCTGGTTCATTGGGAGCAACATCCTCTTTGTGGCCATCACGTATGGCTACAGTCGGTATCGCCTCAGGTTGGTTCGGAAATGGCTAGAAGGATATGGCGTTTCGTTGAAGCCCAAGATGGAAAAGGAAAGTTGAAGAAGTTGAGATTGGGGGAAAGCCCGCATACGGCATTTTGCACTTTGGATGTTCGAGAGAATGAGAAATCGCGGACGGGAAGCGGTCTTCGGTATGGTCTCTCACTTCAAGCGTCTTCGTATCAGCTCAACTCAGCCTGCGACGCCGATGGTCTGATTTCAGAACGCCCTCACCAGAAGCTTATAGGCTTCAGTGGGACGAACGCATTTTGTTATTTCCTGTGTGGACCTGTGGAGGTAAAGACCGATTTTGCTTGGCAGCTGGGAGTCTCTCAATCTCATACTTGTCGTCGTTGCTTGATCTCTACATACTTGGCCAGCTAAGACAAATGGCTGAGCGGATGCTTTAGCTGTGGGCAAGCTGTGGGCAACTACCCAGTACACCAGCCTCCGATCTCCTTCTGCAGTGGCCCTAGGCAACACGTGATCTCACGTGACCTCTTGGCCTGGCTGTATCTACAGATAGCGGGTGCGACGCTCCTATAGCTCATAACAGGATACCCCTGGTCCTCGCTCTTGCACCTACACTTACAAAGCTCCTTCTTGGCCTTCGTTTTCTTCAAGTGGCTAATTTTCAATGTTGCTGTCTGCTCTTAGTGCTGGGCCGGCCTCGGTTACAAAATACTAGCAATCAACAGCAGACACATCTTTTGAGATTCGGCTCCGAATGCTGTTTGGCTCGCCTTGAGCTTGCTTGAGCGCCCATGGATTTCTGCCTCAGTGCATTCGATGGCGTCGTCTGGTTGCAGGGGTAGAAAGGTCGATAGCTTAGGGGGATCAAGCCCTGTTCCGCCGACCCTCAGGGAACAAGAGACTTCACAAGCTTTCGAAAACTCCGCCGGGCCTCTGCTTATCCTCGGGTTTAGCTATCATCTCTGAAGACACCAAGACAAGCCAATCTCCTCAGCTCCTTACACTTATCAAAAAGTGCACGTACAGATATCATGGAACCCCCGTGGCTGATCGGTCTAAAGCGCACTTTTACTGATGAGTTTGTCGGCCTTCTCAGCCGTACACACACGAGTAGGACCGCGAGATTGCGAGGAAGAATAGGATTGCAGAATCTTGATCATGATTCGAAGCCAGATGACAGAGCATTTTCCTTTTCACGATTGGCTGAAGTTTCCCTATTTTTCCACGCCATATTCCGGATTTTGGCCTATAGTCGAATCTCGCGTGATTGTCTATGTCGCGCCATTCCTGAATAAGACGCGTTCCCATCTAGGACTAAAACTGGTATCCTTACTAGTACCGAGTGTGTCAATACAGTACCGAGTACTCGGTACTGCAGAAGTTCACTCAGACTGTACGTGCTGCGATAAATGGTCAGTGGGTATATATACCGTGCGGTGACCACGTGCGACTAACCATACACCTCGACGCTCCATGACTGCTCCACAGGCACGGACTTGATGGCAAGGAGATCAAGAGATGCGTTAGCCCCCAAATCCAGAGCTTGATTCCTCCAGGAATCGCCTCTTCCAGGTCTTGAATCCTGCCCACACCGTTCTGGACGGCAGCTCCGGTATCTTGGCCCTCGCTTCAGCGCGACGACTCATCGTGTTTTGGAATGCCATGAATGGAGAGGCGCCTCAAGAATCCCATAATGAGCTTGCAGATACGGATAACTTTTCAGCTCCGTCACGGTATCACAGGAAGTCCACGCTCGTTGCTCTTTTCTGTCTTTCTCTCCTTCCAAAATCCCCTTTGCTCTTCTCCTGTTTGCGAGTAAATTGCTTGTTTGAAATCCCTTCTCTGCTTCTTGCGTTCACTATCCGCCTCGCTGATCTCTTAAAGTTTGGTCTTTAGCTAAAAGGTTGACGGGGCCTAGCAAGCAGCATTTGACCTATTCTACCAGCTATCGGGCATCTCGAGTCCTGTGCCGTGTCAAGACGAAAGGCTTACATTTGTTGCAATCATAAGGAATAGCGACTTACGGCATTCAAACCACCCATCAACTGCAAGGGGATGCGCTTTCGCTCTGTTACGCTCAAGCCGAGATTTCTGGTCCGATTCACGTCAAGACCAATGCACGCAAAACTTCTCAACGTCTCCACGGAGGAAGACAAATATTGTGGTTGTACACGACAACAACTTGAACGACAAGAAGGCATTAAGTAAACCCTGGTTAATATTTGTTCTCATTGTCAGCATCATCGCATTCATCTTGGCCATCCTTACGGCAGTATGGCCTTTGTATCTCAGGTATAAACGCGCACGCGCTGCGAAAGAGGCCACGAACACCGATGGTGAAATCCCATCCGAAGAAGACCACGTCATCAATGATGCCTCCACCCTCGAGACGCCGAAACAGAAAGAACACCCATATTACGAGAGCAGCGGGTACGAGGCGACCCTGGATCAGAACCAGACTTTGCTAGGCAATGCGGAAGGCGCTCCGATCACCCACTGAGACAGTGACTCGGACACCGTTGTAGGAGTTCAGAGGCCTGGGAGCATAGCTAGCGCCTATACTGCGCCGCCGCCACGGTACGAATAGTGTCTTCTCAGCATTTTATGGGCCAGTATGGAGAGTTCCTTTGCTAGGCGGTGCTGGGTATGTATAATACGCCGTAACGAGAATGTCCACGATGCTGTACGACACTATACGAGATATGCCTTGGGGCGTGTCCGGGGCGCGTCAATCAACCGCAGCAGAGACTTGGGAAGAAGTGCTAGTCCGTCAAAAATGAAAACACAACAAAATGGAAAGGAAAGCACAGAGAGGGGAAAGCACGCGACGTACCGACTACCTGTACAGTGTTTTCGAAGCGGCGTTGTCCGTGAGCAGTTGTGGTTTCCACCCTGTTCGGAGTTCTTCCTTTCTACGCACCTAGGGTATTGATCCAAGACCAGTGGCTTCTATGGCCTTGTTTGCTGTGTCTCTGCTGCATACATGTCAGCACGTTGCCCTTGTGCTGTTTGCAAGCGTCAAACCGCCATCAACGCGCAACTCCTTGTTGGGGACCTTCGGGGCAAGAGGACATACGTGTTAATTTGTGACTTACAAGATGGTGCTGGCTACATCAAGCTGTAGGCAAAACAGGATAGGCATATTGAATTTAGGAATGGTAGCCTCGCCTGTTCCATCTGTAGTTCTCCGCAGAAGTTGATAGTCCCTGCAAGGCTGGGCATGAACAGCCTTGGCAAAACTGCTCGCGGCTCCTTTGGGACCATGCCACTTCAGACCAAGGGGAAATCTGCCCACCTCGCTTCTCGCCCTCCTCCCACCCTCGCCCAGAATGGCTCAAGAAACTTCAGGCTAGGGTTGGAGGGTTTGTTCTTAGCCAAGATGGTCTTTGGTAGGCAGGCTCCTTCTGATTCGAGACGTTTCCGGAGCCACCCTCGGCATCCTGAACACATCACAACGTATTCTTGGGCTATGGATGAGCGATTATGATCTCGGGGACTGCCCCAGCTCTGGTCCTGCTCAGCCCCCGTGATCACTTCCGTAAGCAGACTAGCCCGACAGACATTAAACCCAACCTCATCCCCATAACCTCGTCTGAGGGCAAACCCCGTCTTCCTCTTCCTTGTCAACACTTTCTTAGGTATTCATCTGGTATCGTAACACTTTCTTTCTAACCGCTCCCTCTCTTCGCTGCCCGGGCAGTATGACTGCGTGCTGTTCAGTTGAGATGCCCGAGTTTTCCTGCAGTGCCTGCCATAAATCGTTCAAGCGCAAAGAGCACCGAGATCGCCATCAACTTAGCCATGCGACTGCACGCCCCTTCTTTTGCCCGCTCTGCAACTACCGATTTACCCGAAAGGACGCACTGATGCGCCATGTCCGGCTACATGCTGCACGAGATAGCAGCACTGCCGGGTCCCCGACGCATAGGATCACGGCAGCCTGCGACAACTGTGCCATTATGAAGGCCCGGTGTAGTGAGCAGAAACCGTGTCAAATGTGTCAATATTTGCAACTCAGTTGTACGACAACCCATCAGAAGAAACGCCGTGGACAGGTTGAACAGCCAGATCAAACCTCGACAGCCGCAGCAGAATAGTATTATCGAACACCGACCTGGGGTTGTCTGTCTCCGAGCACGCGAAAAAAACTTCCCGCATGAAACATGACGAAGAACAGGCTAATGACTGCCACATCTCCCGCTTCTGTGGACTGCTGCCAGCTGCCGTTTTCATTCAGTCGGCACCTCTGCACTGGGTATCCATCTCATCCTTCTGAACGACGTGCCGGCCATCTGGCGGATCACCTCACTGATCAATTTCGAGACTTGACTACTTGCTTCAAAAGCGAGAGCACTACCTGGCCGTCACATAAGTGTATATGCCCGTCTGCTTGTTAAACCAAAAGTTCTCAGTCTTCCAACCTCTATCGGGGTCGGCGAGCTCGATATTGAACCGTCTCAGGAAGCTGGGGATGAGCTTGTGTATCTCAGCCATCGATATCTGTGCAAAGGAGGGTGTTGATCAGTACCCGCTCAGGTTTGTCACAGGAGATGAAAAAGGCACAAGCCAACAACATACGTTCTTGCCGATGCAAGTCCTCGAACCTCCGCCGAAATGAAGCATGTGTCGGTCCATCAGGGCTGCATCACGCTGGATCCATCTGTCCGGGTTAAATTCCGCCGCGTCAGGCCCGAATATCGATTTGTCATAGTGAAGGACGGCCGCGTTGATGGACACACGACTGCCAGCAGGAAAATACCGACCAGCAATGGTCGCCCCGCCAGGAGGTACATGGCGCGGCATCCCAAGGCCGACGCTTGGATGCAGCCGCATTCCCTCCTTGCAGCAGGCGACGAGATAGGGCATTTTCATTGCTTCCGTGTATCGAATGTGGGGCTTGGACAGCAGGCCCTGATTGTCAAAGACGTCGATTTCCGCCACCAGCTTTCGCATGCATTCTGGACGGCGCATGAGGTGGTAAAGGATGGACCGGATGGCGATGGCGGTGGTGTCACTGCCAGCGAAACTGAGAGCAAGCGAATTCGTTAGCACACACTCTGTTTTTGGCCCCCTTTGGTGGTCCTGGCCGGGCTCGCTTGCACTCACATGGCAACACACGCTTCATTCTGGATATCCCGTATGTCCCACCCATCCTTGCTCTCCATGATCTGGAAGAACTTACCGAGTAAGTCCACCCTCTCCACGGTACCTGCCTGAATCTGCCGCCGTCGCACATCAGTCCAGGACCTCCCTGCCACACGAATCTCGTCGAATCCCCGGATTGAGGCCCGGATCGTCGGGAAAAGCATTCCCACGGTCGAATGGAAGGGCCGTAGCCACGCCGGCAGTACGCACGACAGTGCGATCCCGGGAAGCAACGTGTCCAAGCTTTGGATATATTGCCCGTAGTCGTGCGCATCGCGCATAAACCCGAATTGATGCCCAAAAAACAGTTCGCCGATCACGTCAAAGGTGTACCTACCGATTTCCCCGGCGTCAGTACATCCTTCCACATTTCCAAAGGGGCCAAGACAAGTGTTTCCCTTCACACCTACCACTGTATCCATTCGCCAAAGTTGATCTTGGACCCCGTCTCGGCGAACCGGGCCATATTCTCGAGAAAGACATCCGTACATGCGTCGATATACGTCTCGCTCTCTAAGATCGTGGACATGGAGTACACCGCGTTAACGTATTTCCTCCGTTCGGCGTGCTTGGCCTCGTCGAGCTGTGTGAAGTGGTCACCGTGTGGACTTATGTTGGGAGCGAATGGCGGGTAGAAATCCGTCTTGGTGAACCCGGATTTGATGTTGTAGATGACTTTGACAGCCGACGGGTCTGCCACTGAGACTTCGTCGTGGGCGATGCGGACAAGGGGACCATGGTCCTTGTGTAGGGATCGCTGGAGATGCTCCGCTCGGCCTCCTGCGACGGCAATCCCAATCCACATGCGAGAGAAGGAGGCAAGAAAGGGGCCTGGAATACCGGCGAGGGGGTGAAAGAGGCGACAATATATGATCCAACCGACCTGGGCCACTAGGAAGATGCACCCCAGACGCCATATGGCTCCCCCCCAGCTGAGTCCTGCACCGGGTAATAAGTTAATGGCCAAGGTAATTAGAAACATGAGGTGTCCCTTTGAATTTGCACCGAAAGGATGTTGGCTGGGCCACCGCGACTGCGAGATGGCCTTTCGAAAGAAATCGGCACCAGGGAGAGAATAAAGGCGCCGTGCTGCTTCTACCCCGAGCAACCACGCACGGACTCGCGGATATTGACTTGGATATATAGACATTCTCTTTGCGATCGTCCGAACCGGCCTTGCCCGTTTGGCGATTCGATCATCCCATGTACTTGGTAGAGGGATGCACGGGACTTCAGGTCCCCTCTCTGGCACAGCATGACGCTTTCCGTATGCCCATTTTCCCACCAGACCCGGCCGTTCTAACCGTCTCTCCTGTCGCCGCACCGTTCGACTCGTGAGCACTGGCACCTGAAATGTTACTGGAGGAGGACGCAATGCGGAAGTGCAACCGACCCATGATGGACTCAGGGTTGGCCAGTCGTGCAGGTTCAGTCTAGCCAACAGTCCGGCTGTCGTGGGGAGGAAAGTTTGTGCTTGGAGTTGGCAGCTTCTCCAGGACGGTGGAAATTCAGCGCGAGTGACACAGGCTGAGCCGAGGAGAGGGCCCCACGGGCAAATTGCCAGCACTATGTATTATTTTACACATGTTGATCTCGTTTTGTCATGACCTGGCTGTCGGTCTTTACACAGCTTTGCAAACGTCGGAAATGCCCCTTCCTGCGTCGGAACCCACCCCCCTCCGTCTCTCCATGAACCGTAATTCGCCGCCAACCGTACATACTCAACTTGTGCTAAGTTCTCCTAATATACTCTTTACCACACTTCGGGTCAACATGGTGCCTTGAGGGCTCGGTCAACCACGGCTTGCAACCTGTCCCCAGCCCCGGGCAAGAGCCCTTGCGGCGATCCCAAGATATCTCTCCCCCCATGCTCGTCTGCTATGGGCAGCTCCTGGACCGCATGCCTCGACACGACGCTCCCTGCGAATAACGTCGGATATGTCTCGAAGAAGCTGGGATGCAGCTTCTGAGTCTGGAAATTGTCATACTCGAGGCCATATGCCTTCTCTAGTGCCTGTACCGCGGCCGACTTGGGAGTATAGGCGAGTCCCGCGCCCTCGGGCCTGAAACCAGCCTTTTCCTCCAGGAGACAGAGGTCCCAGACTCTGAAAGAGGTGGTCGTGGACTTTCTGGGCTCGGACGTCCTCGGAATTCCCGTAGATTCGGTTTCATGGGCCGGTCTCTTGCGACTCTGCGGTAGTAACGAGATTCGATGTGCAACGACATTTTGGATGGCCGTTTTGCAGACTAGGTCCACGTCGAGGCAGTCCTGCTGCTCGATCAGCTTCTCTCGGAGTTCGGGCCACGGCAACCAGTCGATCAACGGCGAATGGGGGGTTACAAGCTGTCGAGGCGTCGGGCGATAGGCCGGATGCATCTTGCCGTAGACTGCCTCGCCGGGGAAATTGCGCCACATTTCGGATTGCAAGAACCCTTTGAACGAGGCTGTGGTTTTCCAAAAGTGTTCGGCTTCCGGCCAGGCTTCGCGCACTACCCACAGGACGCCCTCCGCGCAGACCTTGGCTCGACGTTTAGCAGTCAAGGACGAGCTTTGCCCCAGGCGACCGAGGACCTGGTGTAGGACACTAATATATTGATCCAGTTTCCCTCGGGGTAGGCTAGTGTTAAAGCCGGTTTTTAGATCTGGGACTGCTCGGATTTGGCGCAGCATTGGTATCGGACTTGGTGTCGGTTGTCGAGCTTGGTTGTAGCCCTTCCTCACACCGTTGTCGACGCTGGGATTAAGACATTCAGCAGGTATGAATGGCAGACTTCCTTGAACGCCACCCGCAATGGCATCGGGTTGTAAGGGCCACACGTTGTCCTGCAACGTCCAACCAGGCAAATCTGTTGCCGAGTGTTGCATAGTCGGGGAACAAGCCGCGTTCGCCTCCAAAGCATTATTGATAAGGTCCACCTCCGGTACTGAGTAATCTTCGGGCGTTATCCTCAGCTCCCAATCATGAGGCTGCCAGCAGTGTTGATCGAAATCCTGTGGGAGGCCACAGTCTGACAAGCGAGTACCTCTCTGCGTGCACTCAAAGAGGTCGTGGCCAGGTTTTGATTCGGACTTTGGAAAACAGTGGACCAATCCACCCTGTGTGACGGCCCCCTCGTGTTCAGAGAGATTGGCTTGACAATTGATGAAGGTGTTAGGGGACTGAGATTGCATATCCGGCGGGAAGGGAGGTTCTCCATAAAGTCGTTCGGCCGTTGGCCAAGGGCCGAGTTCCGAAGGCGCAAAGGTTGATTTTCCTCTTGTGCTCACATCCCGTAGGTCACCGCCATCCGGGAGTGTGGTATCTGGCAAGTGGCACGAAGACCTCAGATAGAGATAGGTCAATTCTTCATTGTGGGAGGAGAGCGATCGACACTTTGCTTGGAGCACTCGAACTTGCCTCAACAGTTCTTCGTTCTCACTCTCTAGTTGCCTGCGCGATTTCGGCGCGGTTGTCGCCATTGACGTTATCTCTCAAGTTTTTTTAAAGTGAAGGCGAATCCGTCATGTGTAGTCATGTTGACAAGGAGGGCGTGCGGTGTTCGGGTTCGCAAGTCGAACAATCCCAAGGACGACCCCGCAAGTAAAGATCCAGGTACGCTTTACCACAGCAGCGGATTTTGTGGGGGATATCTGGGGAATCCCCCCCGGCCCCCAGGGGGGGGGAGGGGGGTTGGACTTGTGCAGTAGCCTGCGTTCACCATCCATCTCTTGAGGGACAATGATGTTGCCAAGGGCAATGGCGGAGCCCGCCCCAACGAGCGTCCGATTAATGGTGATCGGTTCTATATACGGAGTGCGACAACTTCTAGGTATACCTTCTGGTAGAGCAGTAAGCCATGACTATTAAAGGCTGGCTACGCACGAAGTAACTGAACTTCTTCCCTGTTGACCTACTCATGTGACTGTACTAAACTATTGTACAGTCCGTCAAGACAGGCAATAGTGTCACGGCATTTGATCTTTACGGTAACATTCGCAGGATCGCACTCAAGATTGTCAACTGTATGGTTGCTGGCCACACTAGGATTCTCAGCTGTGATGGGATACTATTACTACTGGCATTTCCGTGTGATCGTGCACTCAGGTTAGCCTCACCCGAGCACAGCCCTTTTGCAAGATGGAAGTGTATAAAAACACAGCTTTTCCATTGAGTCGTAGTTCCGAATTTCTTTCCTCCGAGACTTTACTGCGAATCCTTAGTGGAGTGAGATGGTCCCTCTGCAGGAATAGGAGCGTCTTGCCGTCGATAACGAAGTTCTCTGCCCAGTCATCGGGCTCACTCACAGATATGGCAGCGGGTGTATTTTCAGACACCTTGGCAATCCAAGTAAAAAGGATGGGATTGATTTAAGTGGGGAGGAAGAGGTTACATCAAAGTGTTGATATGTATATATTTTGACGTTGGTAAAAATACGTCAAGAAATCGTGTTCTCCCCGATGGTGTAACGGTAACATAGCTGGTTTTCAATTTGATGTAAAACCCAGCAGCCCCGGGTTCAACTCCCGGTCGAGGAAAATTTTTTTTTCCCTTTTTTCTTGAACACAAAAGCACCGTCGTCTCGGGAATGAAGCGTCAGTGTTTGGTTCGCGTCTTTACTCTATATTGCCACTGTGAGATTCTGACGACAGATATCACCATGACCGCGTGAACGGCTGAATGCCTGTTTGGCTGGGTTATTTGCCATTCATGTGCTGGTGGCATAACCGTAGTACGCGCCTTAACTACGTCACTAACGCCGCGTAAACAAGTGATTCCATATTACTTTTTTTTTTTTTCAAATCCGCCAAAAATCCGCAACCCAAGATTCTAGCAAAACCTATCGTTAAATAGATCAGTCACGCCAGCACCGTCTTGTTGGCGCCAATCGCAAGTTCTAATTGCATCTAGACAAGCGCTTCCGAAAGCTACGTAGAGTGATTCTTCCCGGCAGGGTTCGGCAGCGGAAATCTTTTGTTGTATTCGTGCCAAAACCTGCGAGCCAACCCAATTTTGAAGTGGTAGCCATGAACAATGCTGGATTGCTCAAAATTAACAGCGACAAGCTTCAAAAACTCGATACGCACTTATCACCACACTATGGCCCGCAAGCCACATGTCAATTGGTCAATAGCTTTTGCCTTCTCTCGATCATAGCTGCAGTCGTACCTGATATTAGCCTGGAAGAAATCACATGCTTCTTTACCGGCGGTTCAAACCCAAGTCGATCCGTGGTCAATGCTATCCAGACGCTTGCAGATTTGAATCTAGTTTTTGTGTCCGGGAAACTGGAATCAATACTTCCTCTGACTTCTCTCAATCTTTTTCAACTGGCCTCATAAACGTTATGGCAGAGATCAAGCGAAGGCAATGGAAATACGGCTAAGCCACCCATGTCTCATGCAGCCATTGATAGTGACAAACCTTGGAGGTGTACTTGATATCTTGACAGAGGCGTGCTACGTATTCATGCAGATGGCATAGATGTGAAACAAGAGGTTTGGTTTGCTTAGGTATGGCTCCTGGCCGGTATGCTTTGGAGCACTCACTTGGCTGGGACGCCCTTAGTCGCAGGAATGAAGAAACCGTAGGACATAAGCTATGGGCCAGAGCATGTAGGACACTTCTCCTACGACAGCAGGTATCCCAGCGGCGCAGCCTCCCAGGGCGGGAGGTCATGGGGATCTATGTGTCCTAGGGCAAATGGGCTGGGACAGATTCACATCTGGGTACTGACGAGGCTGGGTACCATCCGCCAAGAAATAAGCGTGGTGAGCCGCATGTTGAGTCGCGGGTACGAGCTTGGTACGAGGTATCTCTCCCCAAGGCTCACCCTGTAGATAGGGCGGCACCACCCTTCGTCCCAAACGGGGGTGAGTCGGGGCCAGCTTTTAACTCTCTCATCTTGGCAACTTCGATATCCGCATCGGGCCATCTGGCCTCACATTTCCCTCCGTTTCCCTGTAACCGTCCACCAACCAACACCGCCCTTTATCTCCATCATGGTTGTCCTGGCTGCCTCAATATGTACGCGAGGCGGGAAGCCACTCCTCTCCCGCTCATTCAGAGAGATTCCTAAATCTCGCATCGAGGCCCTCCTCGCGTCGTTCCCCAAGCTTGCCGACTCGTCGACGCAACACACAACCGTCGAGCAAGAGAATGTCCGTTTTGTCTACCAGCCGCTGGACGAACTGTATCTTGTCCTCATTACAAACAAACAGTCCAACATTCTCCAGGACATTGACAGTCTACACTTATTCGGCCAGGTCGTCACATCCATCTGCAAGAAGCCCGACGAACGAGAAATCCTCCGCAATGCCTTTGAACTCCTCTCCGCCTTCGACGAGCTCGTCACAATGGGCTACAGGGAGAACCTCTCCCTGAGCCAAATCAAGACCTTCCTAGAGATGGAGTCCCACGAAGAGAGAATCCAAGAAATCATCGCCCGCAATAAAGAGCTGGAAGCATCCGAAGAGCGGAAGCGCAAGGCCAAACAACTTGAACTTCAGCGGAAGGAGGCTGCACGTTCTGCCGCATACGGACGTGGAATCGCGCCAAAAATGCCTCAGCAGCCTATCTATACACCTCCAGCCCGTCCAGAGTCCTCTTACGACACGTACGAAGCCGAAAAGAACAAACTTGCCACCAAGTTCGCCGCACGTTCCACAAAGGGTATGCAACTGGGCAAGAAATCCAAGACCTCGAATGCCTTTGCACAAGTTCAGCAGGAAATAGCCACGGAAGAGTCTCCTGCAGCCGAGCCTTCAACGGAACTACCTGTCCGCGGGCTGCCGCCGGCGAGCACTCACGACACCACACTGTCGTCTCCTTCGACACCCATTCTGATCTCCATTACCGAGACGCTGACGGCTAAACTTTCCCGAGAAGGCGCCCTGAAGTCAATGGAGGTCAAGGGAGATCTACAACTGAAAATTACAGATTCAGCCTTGACCAAGCTCGCACTTTCTGTTCAAGCTGTCGAAGGACCCCTGAAAGCCCAATTTCGCACACATCCGAACGTGGACAAGAACCTCTTCACCAGCCAAAAGCTCATCCAGTTGAAAGACACCTCCAAACGATTTCCCCCCAACAATAGTATCGGCGTGTTGAGATGGCGCGCAACTGCCCCGGCAGACCACAGCACCGATGTCCTTCCGTTGACATTGACGGCTTGGGTGAATAAATCCTCATCCGACGGCACCTATACTATCACAATCGAATACGAACTCACCAATCCCGCCTCAACAACCCTCCGCGATGTCACGCTCACCATCCCCTACTCTTCATCAGAACCCAGTGTCTCATCTTTCGACGCCGTGTATCAAGTCGCAGGGGACTCGTTAGAATGGACCATTGGCGCTATCGACGCCGAGAATAGCTCGGGCAGTTTCGAGTTCGAGGCCCAGGCCGATGACGACGCGGAATTCTTCCCCATGATGGTGAATTTTGAGATGAGCAGGACGTTCGTGGATGTGGATGTGACGGGGGTGAGGCTGTTAGAGGGAGGGATGGATGAGGAAGTGAGCTTTGAAAAGGTTATCAAGGCACGGAGCGAGGGATTTGCTATTGAATGACGAAGCCATGACGAAGGGGGGATTGGTGGTTTTGCCTAGTGACTTGAGGCATTTGACAACTAGCGATTGCGGTTACTCGGAAATGAAATGCGCGCGACGGACGAAACAGGAGAATGTCGTTTGGCGCAGGACAAAAGTGCAGGTCATGCACGCATACATGGTGTTAGATGAGAAACCATACCCGGGAGGACTTGGTGCACACGAAACCTCAAGATGGCTTTATTCTTTGCACCTACATTCTCCAGCTCTGTTTCGTGAAACCGTCTACGTGCCTACTCGTCTATTCTCGTTATGATGTGTTATGATACGACAGAATAATGTGACATAACATGACATGGCATGAGACGATGAATTGTGATGTGACGCGACGTGATACAATGCGTCGCGAACCGTACATCTTTCCCCCCTTTCCTGGATACCTGGGTAATACTCTTTTTCATTCATCCATTCCATTCATGATGTGTGATCGACTACATACTCGGTATTCGGCGTAGCACTACGTATTCTGCATTCCGCATGCATTCCGTGCTCTGTGTTCCATAGCCCCCCGAATGCTGGTGAGCCTGGGGCCGTCTTTTCCATTCCCCCTCCCGCGTCCTACGCAGAGATGTAGCTTTAGTAGCCCCATACTCAATGGACGGGGCACTGTGCGGGACGCTCATTTTATTTCTAATATATTTTTTCCTTCTTCCTTCGTTGGTCGTTTATCGGTCGTCGTGGAAATTGCGAGTTGAGTCGTCGTAGCGAGGGCGGTGGCGGGGGCGGTAGTGGTAATTATTAATAGTAATCGTGATGATTGTACCAGTAGTGGGCGGTCGACAAACATGCTGTAGTCTGCCCGACAGGACGTCATCAAATCACCGCTCAAGATTGCGGAACGCTGTTGAAAAGCCGAGAAGAATCGAAATCGGGTATATGGGGCGTACATAATATGTCGAATAACTGAGGGAGGGATGTCGAGAAGGCCGTGCGTGCTTCGAGCCGCATGTAACCAGACCCGACGGGTGTAACGGACGTAGGTATTGATTAACTGTATCGACGGAGGGAGGAAATGAGAATGTGTAATTAAGCGAATAAGGTGATGGGGAAAGAAAGACATGTTCTTGTTGATGTTGCAGAGGAATGTCAAGCCAGGCGGGTTCGATGTGTTGTTCATCGACTGAACGAACGCCCGGCGATGCTCGTGGTCATAGTCATGGTCGGAGTGAACAACTCAACTTAACTCAGCGCAGGCCAGACGCCATTATCAATAAGCCTGAACAGATCCCACTCGGCCGAGGCCTCGGTCTTGAAGTTCCAGAAGAACCAGCCCTGAATCTGGGTCTCGTACACATCCAGCTGGGCGCGGATGTAGTTTGCGGTGCTGGTCTTGTTGTAGTCGCTCCACTGGTCGATGAAGTTGATGTCGGCGCAGGAGCCGACGTAGGGAGAGCTGCTGTAGCTGTCGTCGGCGTTGCGCTGCGAGTACGTGCCGTCGTAGCGGGCACCGATACCGTAGCCGTTGATGCCTGGAGCGCAGTCGGTCATGGCCGCCGTCCACTCACCGCAGATGACAAACTTGTCCTGCCCCTGCGCCCACGAGCTGGCCTGGGAGTAGACGTAGTCGACGTGCTGCTCTGGGGTCATTGCCACCTCGTCGTCGGTGAAGACTTGGTATTCATGGTGATCGACAATAGCTCCGGAACTCCCCTGCCCGGTCAGGACGCCGTTCCAGGAAGACGGAGCGGCGAAGCCGTCATGGATGATCACGGGTGTCTGACCCGATTGTCGAACCACACCGAAGCCTGCCTGATAGTAGCCTTGTGTAGCGTCCCGTCCGCCAGGAAGAATGTTTATCGACGGTTCGTTGAGAAGTTCGATGCCCGAAACCACGTCTGCGTATGGCGGACTTGCATATTGCTGTGATATTTGCCTGATGACATTGAGTGTTGCATCGATCGTATCGCCTGTTGTCCAGCCCGGCG